CCAGGCTGGAATGCAGTGGTGGTGATCATGGCTTGTTGCAGCCTTGAACTCCTATGGTCAAGCGATCCTCCCATCCCCCAAGAAGCTTGGACTATAGATGTGCAACACCACAGGTGGCTAAATTTTACATTTTTTGTAGAGATGAGGTCTCACTGTATTACCCAGGGTAAACTCAGACACCTGGGCTTAAGTAATCTTCCCACCTCTGTCTCCCAGTGTATTGGTTTTACAGATATGAGCCACCATGCCCAGCCTTTTTATTCATTTATAACAGCATGGACTCCTAAGTGTTCTATGGGTTATATTCCAATGTTATAGTAATTTTATTGCTCAAATTGTTCTATCTTTGGCTATTAGAAGTTCTTTCAGGTTGGTTCGTATGCTTTTTTGATACACCTCTCTCCCTGAAACCTACTTTGAGCACTCTTTAATTTCTTGCACTGAAAGACACTCCAGGTGTATCTTGTGTTATGTCTGCCACACTGTGGAATTGATCAGTTCTCTAAGGAGCCCTGGTTTCTCTCATTAGACTTTATTTTATAACGCTGTCTACTTTCCAAAAAGAAGTGATTTTTTTGACTCTAACATATTGTACATTCTGGATTCAGATGATTGCTTCTTGTGTCATTTAACTACCTCTGTCCCCATGGTTCTCAAACTTTGCTGCATATTAGCATTAGCTAGGGAGCTTTAGGAACTTCACATACTCAGGTTTTATCCCACATCAGTTAAATTAGAATCTCAGGATTGAACCCAAACATGAGTGGTTTTTAAAGTTTCCCAGGTTTCCATTATGCAGCCAACTTGAGAACCACTGCTGTGTTTCTAGCTCCTCCCATTTGCCTGTAGTGGTAGTAAGATCTAGACTAGAGGCTTGACTACATTCTTGACATTCTTGTCCAGGTTTTTTTGTTCTTTCTGTTATATCTTGCAAAGACTGAACATTGGATTCAGTTCTCTTTTTGGCTTCAGTACTGCTCCTTCCATTTTGTACTAGTTTATTTTTAACTATGCTCTCTCAGTTCCTCACATTTACTTCTTGTACCCATTTTCAGGAATCAGTCTGGGATTCTCTTCTTGCTACTCTCTGGTAATATTCATGAATGTGCTCTTTTTTTTTTTTTTAATGGTGGCTGCAAAATTACCAACACCGCCCTCCAGACACCTTTTTCAGTGTCTCTCCTCAAGCACAACACATCTAAAATTGAACTTGCCTTCCTTCAAGCCTGCTTGTCTTTTGTTCTTATTTATTCATTCATTCAGCACATATTTATTGACTGTCTGCTGTGGACCAGACTGTATTCCAGGAACCAAAGATGCAAAGTTGAAGAACAAACTGGCCTCAAGGAGATTTTTTGCTTGGTGTATTTTCTTCTGTATTCCGCGTTTCACTAATGGCATTGGAATCTGCCTGGAGAGAGGCCTCTTTGATAGCCCACTCTTCATTTACCACATCCTGTCAGTTTGCTGTGCTTCACTGATTGTTCTGTGCCATTCTGAATATTGAAAACACAGCAATGTAACTCTACCTTTGAGGGAGCTAGTGTGGTCTTTAGAGTAATACTAAGTAGAAAGTGAATTCTGAACCAACCACTTAGGTCCATATGCCCCTAGGCAGGTGACTAAACCTCGCTTACTCAGCGTGTAAAATTGGAATAAGGATCATCACCTCACTGGGTGGTTTGGGAGACTGATGCTGTAACTTGCTCTGCCTCTTCTTGTCCTGGTGAGTAGCGCTGCCATCTCTTCAGTTGCAGTATTCTAAAACCTAGACACCATCGTAGAAACTCCCCTTCCCTTATCCTGCCTTCTCATATCTAGTTATTCATTGAGTCCTACTATTTTTTATGTGTAAATATCACTCAGTTATATTTATGTTTAATAGCTTTCAAGCCTTCATTTTAAATTACTATTATTATTTTTTGAGCCAGGGTCTTGCTCTGTCACTCAGGCTGAAGTGCAGTGCCACAATCAAGGCTAACTACAGCCTTTTAATGTCCAGGTTCAATTGATTCTCTCACCGTAGCCTCTTGACTTGCTGGGACCATAGGCACGTGTCACAACGCCTGGCTAATTTTTCTATTTTTTTATGTAGGCAGGGTCTCGCTGTGTTGCCCAGGCTGGTCCTGAACTCCACCTACCTGAGCCTTCCTAAGTGTTGGGATTGAGCCAGTGCACCCAGCTTCAAGCTTTTGTTTTTGCCTATTCAATTGTATGGTTTTGCCTATTCAGTTGTAATGGTCTCCTCATTTTTCATCTCCCACCTGACCATATGATCTTTCTAAACGCCATTTAGTTTTTTCTCTTTGATGCTTTAAACACACTCTAATGGTACCTCATGAAGTCCACAATCCATCGCCTGGCAGTTCTTTTCAACATCGTGCTCTGCTCTTTTTTTCAAATCATCTTATCTCTTGTTACTCTTCTCTAACAACTTGTATTCTAACTAGGCTTTCCCATTTGTGTTTCCTAGGTTAACTCTGCTGCTTCACATCTCTGCACCTTTGCCTGTCTTCTTTCTCCATACTGTGCCTGGCAAGCATCTTGAGTCATGTTTCAAGGGCCACTTCAAGTCATACCTACCCTGTGGTGCCTTTCCAGATTTCCCTCAATGTGTCCTTGTCTTTTACTGTGCCATGTACTCACGTTCTATTATGGCATCATTGCATTTATTTCACTGCTTGCATTTGCAACCTTCTTGATGAAAGCAGCATCTGTTACTAATTTTTTATCATCTTAAAACCCATTATAGTACCTAGCATATAGTAAATGCTTCTTTTATATCTGATGGATCAATATGTAAAAGTTCTGAGAACAGTGATTGGCAGAAAATGAATGTCAGAAGATGCCTTGGTCGTGATTCATAATGTTTATGAAGATATTTAGCACATTGCTTTTCCCAGTTTATATTAATTTCCCTTGCCAGAATGAAGTATAAATCTTTAGTGAGCTGTTCAAAACCCTTTATGCTCCTGTCCATCTTCCTAGGCTCATCTCTTGTCATTTCTCCTTCTTCAAATCATGTTTCCCATCTAAGTTTCTGGTCTCTATCTCTGGTGGATCCTCAGCCTTTCCTTTTTGTTGGGAATCACCGCACTAGATACCCACAGTTACTCCTGTTCTTAGTGGAGCCACTAAGCAGAAGTAGGCAGAACCACTGCTGTGAAAACCCTGTTTTCTAGTTAGATTGGACTAATTGTGATAACAGACTTGAACTTTGAAGACAAAAATTTTCCCTTTTTCTATAGCACTTACTTTTCATAATGTACTGTACCACTTACCATATTTTAGTTTAGGTGTTGTATGTCTGTTACCTACTTAGCATATAAATCATTTGAAACAAATACTATGTTTTATTTGTCTTTGAAGTTCCAGCGCTCAGAATATGAAATGTTTCTTGATTTGAATGAGTGGAGTGATAATGGGTTGCTCAGAAGAGGTCAGTATTGTCTAGGATATTCGGATGTTTTGAATAGCCATTTGAGAAGCCTGCTCTTGGTAAGGAGAATAGTGGGAGGAGTGGAAACAGTCACAGCAGCCAGCTGCTTCCATTTGTTGAGCACATCTTATATTTAGGCACTTGACATGTGTTGTTGACATGTTTAATTGTCACAGCAACTTGATGATGTTGGTGCAGTAATTTTCCATCTTTAACAGATGTAGAAACGGAGGCACAGAATGGTTATGTGATTTGTGTGATGTGTGGTTTGGGATTGTAGAACTTAAGGCAGTTGTCACTGCTGTGCTGTACTGCCTTCCAGTGGAGCTAGAGGATTGGGAACAGTGAGAATACTGGCCCAGTTAGAGCACCATGAGGGTTCAGGGTACTCCAGGCTTCTCAAGAAGGGACTACACTCTAAAGATCTTCTCTCTGATGAGATTTATGACAATGGGTAAGGATGATACTTCTTAAAACTGTAATTTGTATACATGTTACCTGAGTATCTTGTTAACATGCCGATTCTAATTCTATTCTTTTTTTTTTTTTGAGACGGAGTTTCACTCTTGTTGCCCAGGCTGGAGTGTAGTGGCGCGATCTTGGCTCACTGCCACTTCCACCTTCTGGGTTCAATTCTTCTGCCTCAGCCTCCCAAGTAGCTGGGATTATAAGCATGTGCCACCACGCCTGACTAATTTTGTATTTTTAGTAGAAATGGGGTTTCTCCATGTTGGTTAGGCTGGTCTCGAACTCCCGACCTCAAGTAATCTGCCCGCCTTGGCCTCCCAAAGGGCTGGGATTATAGGTGTGAGACACCACATCCGGCCCTACATGCAGTTTCTAATACTATAGTCTAGGATGGGGCCTGAGAGTCTGCATTTCTAACAATCTCCTAGGGAAAAATAATGCTGCTTCCCCGTGGACTCCTTGTTGCATGGCAAGAGTTTGGAGGGTTCAGTCTGAAATATATTTTATATGGCACCATTAGATTATCATCTAGAAATTGTAAGAGGTTTTCTACCTTTAATTGGATACATAATTATGAAGTTGGATGGTATGGAGATGCTGAGATTCTAGGCACTAATTCTTTATCCTGGGTCTATATTAGAATCCCCCTAGTAGCTATAAAAACTACTAATTCTTAGGCTGTACTTGAGATCAATAAGAAAATCTAGTGAACAGGTCTTTATATTTTAAAAAAAGTCTTCAAGTGATTAGAATGCGCTAAGCAAATAGATTTATTAAAACTCTTTCAGAACCTAGGCTGCTTCCTTGCATGTTAGTCAAGTTTGATGTCTGTGAAATAAATATTGCATCTTCAAAGTTCCGGTGCATTGAAAATACCTTAAAATTGCCATAAAGATGTGGCTAGAAGTTAAGCAAATCAGGTTTGTCATCATTACAGTGTTTTGATTAAGGCTTGTATTATTGGCAGTCTATTGTTCATCTTTTAGGGAATAAGAAAAATAAAAATAATGGTTTTTCTTTTTTTTCCTAGTGAGACCGTTCTGAGAATTCTCATTGTACTTTTGTAACCCATGTTTTTTTCTCTTTCCAACAGGGATTTTTTGCCAGGTGGTAGGAGAGATTATACAGTACAAGTTCAGTTGAGGTGAGTTTGAAATTTTCTCTTAATTTTGTGCTTGCTGAATTTTAAAACACATATGAATGTTTGAGCACACTATTTAAGAATACTTTTTTCTTTTATTAATACAGACTTTGCCTGGCAGAAACAAGTTGCCCTCAAGAAGATAACTATCCAAATAGTCTATGTATAAAAGTAAATGGGAAGCTATTTCCTTTGCCTGTAAGTTGCTTTTTATTCACCAGATTTGCATATAAGTTTAATATAAACACTGACAAGGCCTAGAAACAGTGACAACTGAATACTAATGAACAGTTTTAGCATCCAGATTAAATGCTGTTTTCCACTACAGTGATCCATGGTTACTTGGATAAATAATAAATGGCTTATTTCAGGTCTGAAGGAGATGAGCCTGGAATATCTTTTTTTTTTTTTTTTAATTAAAGAGACAGGGTCCTGCTGTGTTCTCCAGGCTTGATTTGAACCTCTGGGCTCAAGCAGTCCTCCTACCTCAGCCTCCTAAGTAGTGGAGACTAAACAGTTGTGCACTACTGCATCTGGCTAGAACCTGGAGCAGCATCTTGCGTAACAAATCAATGCTGTGAAACACTCTTGGGAACATATCAAACAGCATAGTTGAAGGGGAGGACTTGGGCAGTTTCATGTACAGGATAGCATGTGTGGGATATCTGAATTAGCTGGGCTTGGCCTCTGGGTGACATGGGGAAAGCAGAAGCTGCTGAGAGTGGTTGACTATAGAAATCAAGAATTCCCAGCTTGGGCCTTGATGATGCATTCACTTGTGGTGGTGGGTGGGTGCAATGATAGTTGGTTGACAACCCTTTTAAGCAGAGAGGCAGTATATGGGCTTCAGCACCTAGGATATATACAGTGTGGTTGTATATAGCCTGTTTCTGGCCTAATAGATGGCTTTTGATTCTTTGAATCTTGTTAGTCAAGTCTTAGAATAATAAAATAATAAATGTAGAACTATACTATATATTGGTTTCCATTGAGGCCTTGAATACATTACTAAATTAGGTACCATTCCATGGATGGCCAGCAAAGCCATAATAAAAAAAATAGTACATGACATGTTTGTCAAGCACTACAAAATTGGAGGTATATTTACTGTAACTGAATCTCTAAGAGAGCAGTGATCCCACCACTATGCCCAGTTGTCATTTCACCAAAGCTGACACTTGTGCAACTATTGAGAAAATGGGGAAGGTGTTTAATATCCCTGCTGAACACGAGACTGGGCTCTGGATTAATATATGAGCAATACGCATGAGTAGCTAAGCAAGTCAGACAGTATATATGGTCTAGGACTCTGGGCTCTACAGAGCCAAGTGATCAGAATTGAGCCTCAAAGTGAAGAAAGCCATGACCAGGCACTCTTGTCTTGTAGACAGAGGGATCTGACTTCTCTTGGTTGTCAGGAGTCTCATACACAGTCTGTGGACTTAGAGACCTGAGAAAATACTTGCTTTGTGAATTTTACAGGGCTTGAGCAACACTGCATCACTGACTGACTCTTTTTGAAAGATACGTGTGAGACTGAAATCCGTTGAGACAGTCTGGGAGTGAAGAGTAATTGCAGAGTCTCAGTAGGTATGGCCAGGGAGGATTGCTTATATGGCCCAGACCTGTTTACCCAGGTGGGACATTTAGTCTCTCAGGTTTCCAGCTACTAGCAACAAGATTCTCAGGAGCTCTTTCCCCTGTGCAGCCCCGGCCCCCCCATGGAGTCTTGCTCTGTCACCCAGGCTGGAGGGCAGTGGTGTGATTTTGGCTCACTGCAACTCCACCTCCCGGGTTCAAGCAATTCTCCTGCCTTAGCCTCCTGAGTAGCCACCAAACACAGCTAATTTTTATATTTTTAGAAGAGACAGAGCTTCACCGTATTGGCTAGCTGATCTCAAACTCCTGACCTCATGATTCGTCCACCTCAGCCTCCCAAAGTGCTCAGATTACAGGTGTGAGCCACTGCGCCTGGCAGCTATCTTTTATTTGAATAGTTGGCACAAAGATCTGAACCAAGGGAATAAGCAGCCCTACTTGGAGCTGAAAGATACCAGTGGGTAACCACATGTGTGGGAAAGAAAGCCTGGCAAAATCAGAGATTACAGCACAACCCTGTGCATCTGTCTCATGGACTTTTCAGATCCATTTTTCTTTGCCCTGGATGTGCTAAGATTTCCTTTTCTTTTTTCTTTAAAAAAAGAAAAAAAAGAAAGGCTCTCAGTCTGTTGCCCAGGCTGCAGTACAGTGGTGCAATCTTGGCTTACTCTGCAGCCTCAGCTTCCTAGGCTCAAGCGATTCTCCTATCTCTTTTAGTAGCTAGGACTACAATGTGCCTGGCTTATTTTTGTGGAGACAGGGTTTCGCCGTGTTGCCCAGGCTGGTCTTGAATTCCTGGGCTCAAGCAATCCACCTACCTTAGTCTCTCAAGGTGTTGGGATTACAGGGGTGAGCCACTGCACCTGGCTGCTAAGATCTTTGATCTTTGACGCTCATTGCTATTTGCCCCTCCCATTATCTATGATGAAAGATAAGACTATGGAGAGCTTTTTGGTGTCTGTGGACTCACCTCGGAGACTTACTTATCCTGTATCATCATGTGACTGTGCCAGTGATGCGAGCTGTGTCTGAAATGTGTGAGGTTGTGCCTTAACTCTTTGGCATTGCTATGGAAAATATGGTGGCTACAGATGTGTAAACATAGAAGTTACACAGAATATGCAAATGGACCTGTCAGTGTCACATTTTGGGATGATACCTTCCTGTAGGAGGTCTATGGCACCACTGCTGATGACTTGGAGTTTGTCACTCTCAGTTCTTTTGAGGGAGAGAAAATTAGGCAATTGAGTACTTCCTCTGGGGCACTGTTACTCACTTGCTGCTGATTTCTGTCCCAAAGCACCCACTAACCTTTGATTTACTTGTATTAGGCTATTTGTGAACATGTTGACTATTATATAAAGCACCCTTTATCTGATGAGTCTGACATCCCTGGAGCCAGGGTCCTGCAGCAGCTGCTCCATGGGCAGTTGTGAAAGAGGAAAAGAAATGAAGCACTGAGAGAAAGGCAAAGACATATTTCAAAAACAGAAGGCAGTGGGGAGGACTTGCCTGACCCTGATAGAGCCATCCCAAAGAAAATCAGATGGCTGCCTTTCCCAAATAGCCTTTTTCCTCTAGCCCGGTAAAGTCCTATAGACCAGCTGAAAGAAATTCACATGCATCTGATGGAAGACATCTTAAACCACCTCTTGATCCACAATTGCTATTGATTGGAGTAATGAAATATGGAGTCTTTATTAATGTTAAACAAGATTCTGCATGTTTTAAGAATTACATGAGTTTGCCTAGGCCTCAGAAGAAAGCTCCTGTGGGCCTATAGGAGTTTATTGAACTCTTGCCACCATGGAGAGCCTTGGGGACTTTGTTTCAGTTTTAAGAAGGATCAACAAGCCACAAAATAAGTTTGATAGGTGTTCCTTGCCCATGATCCTGATGTATTGAACCATGAATCCTGGAGGGATAAGCTTGAAACCGTTATGAATTGCCCATTAGAGTTCTGAATATGGTTGCATTTGTCTGTGTCCTGGAGGAAGTCCTTGTATGTATGATATTACCATAATATCCAGTCTTTACGGACCCATGGCAGTTGACCGCTCTGCTGCATGTACAAAGTAAACATAGGAATGGGAAATGGTATTATTTTGAAAATGGTAACATGTCCCTAGACTGTTAAGGATCAAATAGTGATGCAAGCAGCATATGTGCTTTTTTTGCCTACATCAAGATGATGAGTTTTACAAAATACCTTCATGCATTCGTTTTCCAGCTTCCCTTGGTGGAAGGAAGACAGCAGCTCATAGCAGGGCTTGTGGGATGGTGACATGCAGCGTGGACAGACAAGAAGCTGCCGAAGAGACCATCCCCCATCTTTGACTCCAAGGGCTGCCAGTGTACAGACTGACAGCCAGATGAGAACATTTTATGTTTTTAATGGGCAGGAAAGAAAAAAGCCCTCTTTGCTTAGGGAGTTATTTTAAGAAGCTGAATTATTTTTCTTTTGAACAATTTGTGAGAAATGTCTGTAAAACCTGTGTAGCTATAAGATTGATGGAAGAAAGAAGGGTTTACAAGAATATTTCTTTGAAAGATCCCAAAGAGTAGAGAGGATATGTGATGTAATTCAGCTGGCAGCAATCTCCAAGTAGTTCCTTTTGGTGCAGTCAGAAGACTTATCAGTACTGGCCCCCTTCTTTTAATAAATTCTGTTTCTGAGCTCATGGATTTGTTTCCTGATGCTGTGTGTTAGTCACCCTGATGGCTGCCTCACGGTAAATCTCAACTGACATAAACTCAATATTTCTTCTTTTAAAACACATACTTGTTTCCACACTCACCCCAGTTTGAAGAAGCACTTCTGTACCTGAGAAGGGATAATTTTGATATCAGAAAGAATAATGACTATAGTAGACTCAAAACTATCAAATATGTAAGTGTGTTTGTAATAATTATACTAAAATAAACCACTGGAGGTTGCACTAACTCACTGCTCTGAAGGTTGATGAAGAAAGGAAATCATTCGTTTCAAGGTGACTAGCTGTTGATGTGGTCAAGCCCTTTATGGAAACATTTTGGCTAATATAATCACAAGGGTAATAGAACTAGAAAATCATTATTCCACAATTCATAATCATATAATGGGTCTAGGGTAGCTATCATCAATGGATGCCAAAGCTTGACAGGTAACTTTATGGTGGCGGGATCAGGCTGACATCCCCTGAACTCCTGATCAATCTTGACATCACTGAAAACATGGCAAACAATCTTCTGTGCCTTACAATGTGGTACCATATGAAGTATGCAACGTTTTCTGTGAAGTTTTCATGTCTAAATATTTGACCCCCAATGTAATCAAGCTTGTTTAACTACTGGTTTTAAAAATATAAAAATATATGGGAAGTAGAGCAACAAAACCTCATACTTCGAGGAAGCAATATACCTAATCTAGAAATGTGAAGTCATTGTTCAGGTCAAAAGTCCTGGTTTGTCCAATAGAACAACAGCACTGGGGAAAGTGTGAGTGTTTGGAGATGGTGGGGATTATGTTTCTAGAATAAAGGAGACTTCAGAGACATAATTAAGTGCAGTGTTGGGCTCTAGTTTGAATTCTGATTCAAGCTGTAAAAGGACATCTATACTAAACTATATTTGGAGAAAACAGAAAATATATCTGAGATTTGCTTGGGGGTTGGGTAGAGTAGGTAAAGATTGTTCATGGGTAAGTAAATTACTGAACTGATAGGTATATGTGTATTATACTTTTTTCTTTACTTTGGTATATGTTTAAATTTGCAGTAATAAGATAAAAGGAAAAGAAATTTTGAGGCAGCTGGGAAATCTGAATTGAAAGACAAGGTATTAGGTGATTTTTAAAAATTGTGGTTATTTTTGTGGGGTTGTAATACTGTGTTTTTTTTTTTAAATGTCTTATTAGCAGTGCATGTTAAATATCTGTGGGTTAAATGACATGTCTAGAATTTGAATTTAAATACTCAAGGGCAGAAGGAAATGTGTGTGTTTTAGGGCAGATTGACTTTGGGGTCAGAAGCATTTGAAATAAGATTGGCAGCATGTTGGTAATTATTGAACCTGATTGGTGGGTTCTTGCTATTTGTTCCTTTCTTGTGTATGTTTGAAAATTCTGTAAAGTAAAAAAGTAAATCTGTGTTGTAAGTATTCAGATAGTAATGGTAATTGGAAACTTTGGAGGAAAATGTTAAAGTACAATAATTGTGGATGACTTTTGTCATAGTTGCAAGTAGGGTAATATGTCATCAGAGCATGAAATATAAAAAATTATTTGTGTCATAGGACTGCCACAAAGTCTTCTGCTGGTGCTGTACAGTGGCCTTTTCTCAGAAAGCTTGTAGATTTGCTCCACTGGTTCCCTGTCACATGAACTTGACTTTATTTTTGCTAATATGAAAAATTGTTAGAAATATGTGTTAAGGCTAAAATTTATGTTTTATAAAATTCCAACTATTAATATAGTCTTAATAACCAGGAAATTGATGGTTGGGTAGAGGTGGTACTGATGGTTAGAGATAGAATACAAGTTAACAGACAATTCATAATTATCAGTAAAGTCACACAACTCAAGTGGGATACAGGATAGACTGAAAACACTTTACACTGAGCAAGACTAACATGATTCTGAATTTGCTACAATTTCATTATTACATTGACTGTTATTCTCCCTGCTTTGCCATCCTTTTCTACTGTGTCAGAATGTCTTATGTCTTAAATTCTAATTTCCAGAGTGCACATTTTAGTTCATGAGTTATTTTTATCCTCCTGGCAGACCCTGTATCATCATTTTTAATTGTTTAACCTACCAGTGAACATACCAGCAATTATCTTCCAGGCCCAAAACAGACAAAACAAAAGGTTTCATTCAAAATTGCCTAGATACTGGTATTGATATTTCTTGTGCTTGTTGCTTATTGAATCAACTCCTGGAGTCTGTATAAGGGGACTTTTCTTAGGAGTTGTGATTTTTTTTTTTTTTTTTTCTGAGCAACTTTTTTTTAATTTCCAGTTGAGCAACTTAAGATGGGCATAACGTTCCTACACAACACACACACTCTATCTCTTTCTTTCATTTCTATATTATAACGCAAGTTATTTAAGTTCTACTCTGTCTTTTATTCTCCTGCTCAAACTTTTTAGTGATTTTCGAAATTTGTTGAAAGTTACAGATTACACATTATCAGGTAGACTCTCACTTAATAATTACTATCCTTCCTCTTACGAGACAGTAAAGGGTATTCCCAGGTTGTGGTAAACAAGGTGTGTTCCTCTGTCATGTGATACTACCAGTACTATTTTTCATTGGTCTTAAGGTGCAGATTTTAGCATTGCTGAAATCCAGAAGTGTCTTGAAATTGCCGGTGACCACGTGTCAGCTGTGATGTATTATCATCGCCTGCACTTGTACAACTTTGATGTTATTGCCATGGCATGAGTGGTTAGCTGTACCCCCTTGGCTTTTCAGTTAACAGATAATTTAACAACATTTCGAGAAAGAAGCATGAATCCTGGCTGTCGTCTGAAAACTTTTTATTGATGCATTCTCATAAGATCCAGATCGTATCAACATTAACACATCCAGTTAAGGGTGTCAGTGACTTGCAGAGAAATCTGAGACGTTAGTGAAATGGAATACAGTTTTAAAAGATACTTTCTCTCTAAAGTTCCTGCTTGTACATAGCAGAGTGTTATGTGGAAAAATGTGTGCATTAATGACTGAGAGAAAAGTGATTCAAAAGATTCTTCTGTACAAAAGGGAATATGTTAATTCATTTTGCTTACATTTCTTTGCCATATATACAGAAATAAGTAATGTTGCTTTCTCAATAATATGTAATTAAATTACATCAAAGACAGCGTTTGAAATATGGTATTTTCAATATGTAGATCATTTTGCAGCTAAGACATTTTAATTTTTTTAAAAAAATGTAGGATTTTGGTTTTGAAATATCAGTGTGAAATCTTGTGGTAATTGATAATTGGATATACTGCGAATCAGAAATGAGTACACTTGCTCTTTAAAACAAACGCTTGATGACTAGATAAAAGTAGATTAAAGCATGAATAGCAGTATTGTGGTAGCCATCAAACTAATTTAATGACAGTTGAAATACTGATTATCCTTATTTGTTAACTTGACCTGGTTTAAAAGATTACCATTTCTGTTCTACCCAGAGAAAAGGCAGTAGAAAGTATTTTTATCATTCACCAGATTTTACAAACGAAATTCGTGAGTTTGTTCTTTCTTTCCCCACAATTTCCAGTTTGCTTTCTGTCTTTCCCACCCCTGATACATCAAAGTATTTTGAATGGGGACTGCTAAGGATGAATCATTACAAAAAGTTGTGATTTTATCTGTAAAGCTTGGTGTCCTATAAAAAAAGAAAATAATTCATAGCTAATGTGGCAAGATGTCAGCATCTTTAATTTTAATGATGGAACATGGATTTGTTTTTTCTTACCTTTCTGGACTTGTGAAATATTTTATAACTTTTTTTCAAAGGTGATTTCCCTATTTTGGTTGATAATCATGATGAGGGCTATATGATTTTCAGGCTAAAATAAAAATAATATAACTGAAATTGGTCAGGATCCTGTATCTATCTTGGAGAAACTGTTTAATTTCTGCAGATAATTTGAAATAATTTTTCTCTCTTACGGTTATAGGGCTACGCACCACCACCTAAAAATGGGATTGAACAGAAGCGCCCTGGACGCCCCTTGAATATTACATCTTTAGTTAGGTTATCTTCAGCTGTGCCAAACCAAATTTCCATTTCTTGGGCATCAGAAATTGGGAAGGTAAAGGCTCTCCCTTTTGGGTAGCAGGATAGTGACCCCGCTGGGGGTTGACTTACTGTGTTTTTTCTTAGGCTTTTGGCTCCAGCTCTTTTTGTTTTTGGATTGTAATCTCTAAAAAGCAATAATTTTCAGTTCAGAGGCAACAGTGTGGAGATTCTTAAAGTTAAAAACTTTAATTCTGAGCTTTCCTGAATATCATCTCTTTATTTTCCTGGAAAGAAAATATGCATATTTATATTTCTGAAGGTAATGGTTTAACCACAATTGTGTGTATGTTTGTGTTTAAGTAGTATTTTAATAAACTAGAAGCTTTGGACGATAAATATTTATGAAGAGGAACAAAGAAAGCTTTATCAGTTTTGGGGAGAAATGTTAAATATACACATGTTGTGATTAGAAATAATCTGTTTTAGCCTTTATGTAAACAACTGATACCTCAGATAACCTGTGATTATCTCATATAAAAATATTTACTTAGAATTATAATTTTTTTTTAAACCTTCAGGTTGATTAACTTTCTGCCGATTTTTGGTCTTATAATAAATTATGTCAGTTATGAGCTACCAATTAATACAACAAGGAATTTACATTTTAGAATTACTTATATAACTAAAATAATGAATAGAAAAGAGATTTCAGTTAATTTCTGACTATCATCGGCTTCAATGTTACTATTACATGAAGCATCAATTTCAGTGTTCCTGTTAAGATGTTCCTAAACGGAATAATATTCCTGTTTTATGGATGGAGAAATTGAGGCACTTTACAGACATTGGAATAAATGATTGTAGACATTGAAAACTTGGCAGTTTTGCCATATAATGGCAATTATACTCTTTCCTTATAATTAAAATGATTAATTGACCTAACATTTGTACTATAAGTTGGGCATTTAGATATTTAAAATAATGTTTAAAATATTTAAAATACTAGGTTTGGCAACTTTTAAAAGTTTTATGTTTATTGTAGAATCAATTGAATGAATATATTTAATAAAATGGGAAGATAGGTTGTTTTAGCATTTATGTAAAATTTCTTCGTAGCTCTATGAATAGCTAATGAAGGTTCCTTTGTGCCAGATCTAAGAGATATAGGATTGAATGCTGTTATTTTCTGGCCTTCACTTTTTAATGTTTTCATTTCCTCATGTGCCTAACATACTATAGTAGCTGCTGCTTGTCAGTAAAATACCCATTTGGGATACAGAAGTTAATTTATCAAAGCTTTCCTCAGAAGAAAGCTGATACCTGGTTCATTTGAGTGATTTACTCAAAGGCCATGTAGCAGGTAGTCTCTTCTGCCAGAATTAGAACTTTGAAACTCTGGGTTTAAAGTGCTAATTCAGACCACTGGCATTTGAAATTTGTTTCTGCAGTGGAACTCCGCTTTTATGTGAAAATATGAGAGCCCTGTTATATAAAATCGATAAAAGCAGAATGATTTTTGTTAGCAAGATTCTGGTTAGTCATAGGAGAGTGAATTTTCAGGGTGGCCCCTAAGGTACCAGTTTTGCTAAATCAGAACCATAGTTTGGAAACTATTGATCTAACCTATGTTCCCATACTAGTGGATGGTTTAAAGTGATAAATGATCAAGAAATACCTTTAAAATGATTGAACTTTTATTTTCACTGAAGTAGCTTGGTTGATTTTGTCCCCTTTGCAGTCATTGACCATTCCATGGAAGTTATTTTGAATGTTATTTTTGGAAATCAGTGTTTCTTAAGTATATTATGTAAATAAAGAGAATATTATCTCTCATCTTTAATGCAGGTTTCTTTTTGTTTGTAGAATTACTCCATGTCTGTGTATCTTGTACGACAGCTTACATCAGCCATGTTGTTACAGAGATTAAAAATGAAAGGTATTAGAAACCCTGATCATTCCAGAGCACTAAGTAAGTAATGTTTATAATACCAAGCATTTTTTTTTAACAAAAGATTGAGCATATAAGATGCTTTAATGCTTTAAATATTGCTCACATCAATATTTATGTTAGTATATATTTGTTAGCTCACATACATAGTAATTTATATACATTACTGGGTATGTAAAATTGTAGACATATTATCACATACATAGTAGTTTTTAATTGTCAAAGAAAGTATAAGAATTTTTTTTTTTTGAGACGGAGCTTTGCTCTTGTTGCCCAGGCTGGAGTGTAATGGCCCGATCTCAGCTCACTGCAACCTCTGCCTCCCAGGTTCAAGCGATTCTCCTGACTCAGCCTCCCGAGTAGCTGGGATTACAGGCATGTGCCACCGTGTCTGGCTAATTTTATATTTTTTTAGTAGAGACAGGGTTTCTCCGTGTTGGTCAGGCTGGTCTCAAACTCCTGACCTTAGGTAATTCACCTACCTTGGCCTCCCAAAGTGTTGGGATTACAGGTGTGAGCCACTGATACTTTTATCTTTTCTGTTTACAAATTTAATAATTGCTGGAAACAATACAGTCTAATAAAAAAACTGTGATGAATGTGTGTTGGAAAAGCTTTGAAGCTCAGGGTACTGCTGCATTCCAGCTTCCTCTTCTAATTGTTGTTCTTAAATCTTAGCTTTCTATTTTGAAAGTGTTACTTACCAGCAGTCTTACTTTTAAAAAAATTTTAAGAATTTAAACAAAGAATTTGCATGTTCTAATTCTTTAACCTATATTGGGAGTGCAACTGTGTTTTTAATACATTAATATTTAACAGTTTAAGATGCTGTATATTTCTATAATTTCGTTTCTTTGTCACCATTAATTTTTTTTTTAATTTTAATTTTTCTTTTCTCTTCTTTATAAAGTAAAGGAAAAACTTACTGCAGATCCTGATAGTGAAATTGCTACAACTAGCCTTCGGGTATCCTTGATGTGCCCTGTAAGTAAAGCAACAAAACATTCTGGGGAATTTGACTTTTTATAAATTATAAACTTTCCTATGAAAGTAAGTGTGTCAATGAATGCTATATTATGATAGATGTCTGACCTTTTCTTTTCCCATTAAGGAATCTTCATGATTGAGCCACATTCTTTGTATTATTTGGGCAAGAGGGAAGATAGCTTTAGGCCCAGAATAGTCTGTCATAATTAATGTTGTAGATAATCCACAGCTTGTAATAAAAATATATTAAGAGATGGCTCCTTTTGTCAGAATATAAATGATACTGAAAAATAGCAAAAAAGTGATTAGGGTCTGATAAATACTAATTGATGGTGTTGGTTTAGTGAGTTAGGATGTGTAGGATGTCTTTGTAATGTTCTTTTAAATTGTACAATAATTTTTATTTTATTATCTCCTTACATAGAAACTATGAGGGAGAAATTAGTTAGCAACTCTCAGATCCTTCTCTGTGCTTGCCACTGAGCTAATTGTGGGAGAAAATATTGAGGCTTGCTTAGAAAGTTAATAATTGAATTTGAAAAATAAAACCAACTCCCGTAACAATGGAGCAGACTTCACTTACAGTTAGGCTATTATAGTACCAAGAAGACATGGGAGGGGTCAGGAGCAGTGAATGAATTGGAGGGGAACCTTTTCCGGTTTAGAAGAACTTAATGAGAAAAGTCATGGAATCAGGTATTTATAATGTAGTTTTGTGGGCATTTGATGACTACCCACCATTTTGAGAAATGGGGAGAAATTGTGTCAGAAAGAAAAGAGAGTGCTTTGTTGAGTTTCTATGGTATGTTCTTTATTTAACTGTCTCAGCAAACCTGTGTGGAGTTGTCTTCATTTGTAGAAGAAACAGAGACTGAATGAGGTTGGCTAACCCAAATTACACAGGGGGTAGAACAAAGATCAAGATTCTGCTGTTCTGACATTCCTGTTCTCTTTCCGATATACCATGCTGCCAGACTGGTATATACATGTCCTGAATACAAGTATATTTCTTTTATTCTGGAAAGTGGTATTTGTACATCTTTTATTGAAGCTTTACTTTTTTTAGCCTTCATTAACTTAAAAACATGAACTTGCCTTTATTGAAATAGAATTTTTGGATATCAGGATTGCTTGGATACTGGGAACCTGCACTTATCAAACGCAGGGAAGAGGACCCAAAAGCCCTGAGGGTGGTGGCAGAGGCTCTAGGAGGCATGTGGGAGGATCCACAACCTCCTCTGAGCACAAGCTCTGTGCAAACCTTCAGCCATGAGTTTTTTTCAGTGTCTTCATGTTATCTTTTTCTTCTCTCTCATATTAAAATTGATAATAGATTGAAACAAGTGAAATTACTTTTTTGTTGGTTAAAAAACAGTTGGATATTGACAGTTTCTTATGATGTAACCGTAGTATGTTCAAAAATTAATTGCCAGCTCGATATACAGTCACTATATGCAGAGGGAACTCTTGTCACCGTTATGTTTTAGATGTCAAACCATTGTATCAGGAAGAAAGTCTTCTACACAACTTAGTTTTACAATTGTGTAGTGCCATTTTCTTAGAATCTTTAAAAATTTTTTTCTTCATACAGATGGCTATTCTACACAAGAGCAACCAAAACAAAATGCAATGGCTAAACATACTAAAGGATTCTGAGGCTTTTGGGAGGCTTTTTTGAGACAGGGTCTCTATCGCCCATGCTGGAGCACAGTGGTGTGATCATGGCTCACTGCAGCTTCAATTTCCTGGGATCGAGATCTTCCCTTCTTGGCCTCTTGAGTAGCAGGAACTACCACCACACCTAGCTAATTTTGGTGTCTTTTGTAGAGATCTTTCACCATGTTGCCCAGGCTGGTCTCAAACTCCTGACCTCAAGTGATCTGCCCACCATGGCCTCCCAAACTGCTGGGATAACAGGCATGAGCCATCTCACCCAGCCAAACTTTCAATAGTAGTGAAAGTAGTGTATCACAGAGGTTAGGATTCCTTCTATGTAAGAATAGGGAGCAGTTCCTTTCAAACATAACAATTTTAAGAAAATGGACTTTTCAGTTATTTGAAGAAATGAAGTAACAGATCAAATAGGATTTTCAAATCTTGTTTTACGTTTCTTAAATGTCTCTTTCTCTCTGCTTAGAAGTGACAAAAAGTCTATTTGTGAGTGTGTCTTTTCAGCTTTTCCTCAGGGTTCATCCTACCTGATCTTTTCAGTGCATTTTCTTGGAAAAGAATGAATGGTACTCTTTGGGCTGTAGTAGTACTATTAATATAAGTTGGTAGCTAAACTATAATATGTGGTATATTTAATTAGAATACAAAACACAAGTGTTTTGATTAGATTTGGTGGATGGATGACAGAAGTTAAATGATGAAAACAGTTTTTTTGGGTCAGTCCTGTTATCAGTTGGAGAAAGCAGAATGGAGTCCAGCCAGTTAACAATGGAGATATAACATGGGATCTGCTGCAGTAATGGGAAATGGAGAAGGAAAAATAAAATCCCAGAATCCCAGGCACTTGAATAAGAAGTGAACCCTGGGTTATTTGGCAAAACCAAGAGAAACTAATAGCGTAGGGTGATAGAAGAAATGTTTATTGCATTTCACAGTATTTTTGTAAAGTGATTTGCAGTGGAAGTGAGTCTGAATAGTCGGAGCAATTCTAAAACCTCTGTCCTTGGTACTAAAGGAAGGTAATATCACAGTAGTTTTATTGAAGAGGGATCTAATTGAGTGTGCATAATCATATTTCTGAACGCAATATCTAAATTTTACATGCGAGTTTCACTTTGGTGATTTCAGCTAGTGATTTTCAATCTGTCCTGCAGAGGTGGGCTAGGTAGCTGGGGAATAGAAAAAGAAAGCTAGGTTTGATTTTATCTCTTGAGATTCTAATATGTTAAAAAAAAAAAAAAGTTCTGCTATAAGTAGTTGGAAACCACCAGTTTGGGCCATTCCAACTTAAAAACTCTCTTAATTTAGATTGACGGTAATTAGTCTACAGTGAATAGAAGTTGGATAATGCCAGCTTAAGATTTTATAAGAAAAAAGTATTACATTGCTTAAATACCACTTCATTCATAAAATTAATAAATTTCAAAACATCATCATCTGATTAAATTAGAATTATAATTTATTTTAATGGAGCATTCAGGTCCTTTTTAATAACATGCTGTAGTCACTAGGAAATTGATACAATTTCACTAGCTAGTAACATATGCCAGGGAATGCTTATTAACTGTTATAAGACAACAAGAGCAGATTAAATTTAGAATCAGCAACTTTTATAGTCCTGGATATTCTCATTTCTGTATGCTATAGAAATTTCAAGGCAGTAACAAGAGAGAGAGAAATGGCATAGAAGAAAAAGACAAAAACAACCTTGAAACAGCAGTTTGCAAAATGTGGCTCAGGGATACCTGCAGGTCTCTTACACTCTTTGAAGAGGTCTATAAAGTTAAAACTTTTTATAATAATACTGACGTATAATTTTGGCTTTTTGTTCTTGTTCTCTTATGAGCATAAAGTGATGTTTAATGTGGGTAACCTAATAGATGATATTGCACTGATGTCTCATGGAATGTGTTTTTGTGTACTCTTATCTTTTAAAAATATGTTTTAATTTCAAATATACAAATATTGATAAATATAGTCCACATACATAAGTCTTTGAGGTCTTTTTTTTTTCTTTTTCTTTTTCTTTTTCTTTTTCTTTCTTTTTTTTTTTTTTTTTTTTTTTTTGAGACGGAGTTTCACTCTTGTCACCCAGGCTGGAGTGCAATGGCGCGATCTCGGCTCACCGCAATCTCCACCTCCTGGGTTCAGGCAATTCTCCTGCCTCAGCCTCCCGGGTGCACCTGCCACCTTGCCCTGCTAATTTTTGTATTTTTAGTAGAGATGGGGTTTCATCATGTTGGCTGGACTAGTCTCGAACTCCTGACCTCAGGTAATCTGCCCGCCTTGGCCTCCCAAAATGCTGGGATTACAGGCGTGACCCACCATGCCTGGCCAATATATTAATTCTTAAGAGTCTAAAAGGGTTCTGATTTAACTTGTGGCCATCATGCAAATAAAAGCATTCTGAAACCAAAAGTTTGAGAACTGATAACACATAAAACCCATAGTAGGCTGCGTTAGAACAGTATTTTGAAGAAAAAATTTTAAAAATTGACAAATAATACCTAATTTTAAATTATTCAGATAGAACTGAAAAGTAAAAACAATAATTTTAAATTCACAAGATCTGTTATTCAAAAGTAACATTACTAGTAGCATGACAGATTTTTCTAGATTTAATTCTCTGTATTATAATTGTATATGTGTTTGTTGGAAAGTATGTATACTGTCCCATGGCCTGCTGTTTTTTTAGTTAACAGTGTATCTTAAGTATATTAGTATGTATAGACTGGTCTTATTTTCATCATTGTGAGCATTTTGTTGAATAGGTATAGTGTAATTTTATAACAAGTTTAGTGATTATTTGAGTTGTTTCTGCACAGTGATTGTGTAAAAAAGTCAACTCACTTACATTGGTGGAAAATTTCTAAATAGGATGCCAGCCAATATTTATATCGGTACTATTTGAAAAGAATAATGTGACAAAACCAAGGATACATCTTAAGAATATAATGATAGTTCGATTATAGAAAATCTATTAAAGTTATTCAACTTATAGTTGAAAGGATCAAAAATCTTTGTTATCTCATTGGGCACTGAATAGGTATTTAGTCAATATTCTTTTTTTCTTTCTTTCTTTTTTTTTTGAGACAGAGTCTCGCTCTGTTGCTGAGGCTGGAGTGCAATGGCCGGATCTTGGCTCACTGCAACCTCTGCCTCCCAGGTTCAAGCAATTCTCCTGCCTCAGCCTCCCGAGTAGCTAGGATTACAGGCATGCGCCACCACCCCTGGCTAATTTTGTATTTTTAGTAGAGACAGGGTTTCTTCATTTTGGCCAGGCTGGTCTTGAACTCCCAAACTCAGGTGATCCGCCTGCCTCGGCTTCCCAAAGTACTGGGATTACAGGCATGAGCTACTGTGCCTGACCAACATTCATTTTTAATAGAGCACAACTTAGCAAAAGAGGAAGAGGTGGGTAATTAAAATAAAAGACTAACACCATTTGTAATGTTACAAAACTAGGATGTCTCTGGGACGTGAGGAACATTTGGATTTGTGGTATAGTTACATCAGTTGTGTCTCAGTGAGCGTGTGGTTTTAGCCTCTTGTAGCTTCAGTGTCTTCATTCCAGAACTAGAAATATAGATAGCAGCTTTTCTGGAGTCATAGAGTTATGAAGATGATATGAGACTTATATAAAAGCCTTGGGCATACTGTAAGAGATAATTGTTTTTAAAGGAAGGAAAAACATAGAAAGATGTATCATAAGAAGAGAAGCTGCCCAGGTTTTATTCCGACCTTTTTTTGTTCTAAGTGGTTAGTTATATTGTGCTGCATACCTTGATCTAATCACAATAATTTTGAGGATCCCTTTTAGAACTCTGGTGAGACACTTAGGTAGAGACAATATTGTAGTGATGAGAGTGTGCACTCTGCAGGGCTGGAGCTTCCCAGGTTAGACCTTAGCTCTGCCGTTTTCTAACTTTGTTATGTTTGGTTACTTAGCTTCTTTGTGCCTTAGTTTTCTTATTTATAGAATGGGACTGATAATGATATCATCCTTTTAGTGTAATTGTTACGTAATTGTAAAAGTGTTTTTGAAATTAATGTGAAGTAGTCAACACTGTACTTTGCATGTAGGTGGAACTGTATAAATGTTACTTCTGTGTTAATGATTCAGCTAAATTATTTTTTTGTAATTACAATACTACCAGGTGTTCATTTTAAGGAATTAGAAATTACTGATGAACCAAAAGAAAAAGAACATCCTAAAAAGCCTACCTCCCGGGCAGAGCTAAGAATGTTTTAATTTTGCCGTGAATTCTTCCAAACTTTATAGCATAAAAAGAGGTCTGTCTTCCTTTCTTTCCTGTTTGCTGTTTTCCCCCCGTTTCCAGTCCTTTTCCATTCATTTTCCTGACTGGTCAACAAATACTGAGCACATACTATGAGCTAATATTGTGTTAGGACAGTGAGATTCAGTGGTGAGAAGAGATTTAGACAGTCTTTTTGGAGCTTTGAGTTCCAGTGGGAGAAACAAATTTTCAATCAAAATAGCAGGACTGGTTATAAATAGAGATATTTTCTGTAAAGGAAATATATGGGGAGGTTTGAAGGATTATGTAGGAAAACCAGGTCTAATCAAATCCAGTTGTTGGGTATGTCTTGGTGTCAGTTGGAATAAGAATTTAACAGACCACTAGAGTTAATCAAAAGTATATTGAAATTTTGACACAGTTGATTATATAAAAATAAAAATTTTTTATAAAATATATATTTGCAGTTCATATTACACACAAGAGGCTAATTTCTTGTATAAAGAGTGCCTATAAATAGATAACAAAAAATTAATAACCAAATGGGAAATGAGAAAAGGGTATAGGTGGAAAGTTTTTAGAAACACGAGTGACTCTTAGAAATAAAAGAAGAGGCTCAACTACCACCTATAATAAATGTAGTTCACAACTATAATGAGATATTTGTTACCTTCCAGATTGGCAGAGATCAAAAAATTTACTATCACTATATTGAAAAGGTCAAGTGGAACCAAGCACATTAATACACATGTATGCATAACCCAATAGGTACTTTTTGTGGAAGATAGTATGTTAATGTGACAAAAATTACAGATGCACTTTTCTTTCCATCCAAAAGTTTTAATTCTAGGAATTACAAACATTATAATATAAATATTATAAATATAGAAATCTTAGAAATATTTAGTATAGCATTTTTTGTAATGATAAAAGATTGGAAACAATTTAAATGTCCGTCATTAGTGGACTGGTTAAATAAGTTATGATACCTTCATAAAATGGTAGCTTTTTACATAGTGATTTGTGTGCAGTAGGCACCAAGTTATGACAGAAGTGAGTTGGAAAACTGTATTGTATATCCTCATTCCTGGAAAAATATTTCTTTAAATACACACTTGGTTTATGCTTAGAACGTCTATGAAAGGACATTGCAAGAGATGGGTAACAGTGGTTCTCTGGATAGGAAAACTGGGAACCAGGTAAGGAGGAGTCATATTTTCATTATATATGAATCTGGATTTATATGTTACCTGTTTTGAAAAAGTGAAATGGTTTTTCAAAATTCATAGGGCAATCAATGATAAAAATAAATTATTGTAATCTTCATGGGAATACACTCTAGTTTGGATTTTTAAAATTTTTATCTTCTTGTAAAAGTCTGAAGCCATGATACAACTGACCATGTTCCCTTTGAGCTCATTCCCCTTTCTGAACTAGTTTTCCATGTTGTTTCCTGTCCTGTAGTTAGGAAAAATGAGGCTGACAATCCCATGCCGTGCAGTGACTTGTACACATCTGCAGTGTTTTGATGCTGCCCTTTATTTACAAATGAATGAGAAGAAGCCCACCTGGATTTGTCCTGTATGTGACAAAAAAGCTGCCTATGAAAGTTTAATATTAGATGGGTAAGTATATCCCTTTTAACAGCTGATATGGACTAATACAAGAGCTGTTGGCAATGCCTTTGTTCAGTACAACTGAGTGAACTAAATTATAAATAAATTCTACTTTAGCATAAATCCAGATGTTTGTGTGTTTTCTGTCTTGTAATTATACTCAATCTTATTTTTTAAACTGTTTTAGTGGCATTTTTATCTTTATAATGTGATTTGTGTTGAGGGCAATGTTTTTTTGCTTTCTAAGATTATATTTTATAAAGCCCAAAGGAAAGAGGGAAAAGTTTGCTTAGTGATGTCATTTTGTTTACCTAGAATTTCTTGAAGTAGCAAGTAGGGTCTGTGCAAAAACCAGAGGAAGTGCTAGGGTAGATACAGACACATGACATAGCTCTTAAGTTCAAAACTGGAGTTCATGCCCAGGTATTTCTGACTCTGGAGTCCAAACTCTTAAGCATCATCTGCATATTATATTGCATGTCAGAGTTTGGAAAATGGCATGAACTAATTTTTAGTAAGTATCTTTTTTAAAAAAATTAAACATCATCCATGTACCATGTAAGATTTAGAAAATACAGTTAGTGAAAAAATGAAAATAAAATTAATCCCATCCTATGGTGATGACTTTGTTATTGACATATTAAAAAAGATTGAAATGATACTTTATGTAGTGATTTATATTAATATATACATATGATTTTTACTCAATATGTAATGAAAGTATCCTAGATCTTTAAAGATGCTTTACAGCTTTAAAATGTTTTAAGCCACGCACTGTGACACATGCCTGTAGTCTCAGCTACACAGGAAAGTGAGGTAGGAGGATCACTTGAGCCCATGAGTTCAAGGTGAGCCTGGGCAACATAGTGAGTTGCATCTCTAAAACAACAAAAGTTTTACAAGAGTATTATCTGTGGAGAAAAATGGGGACTGAAGAGTGAATGGGACTTTAACCTTCCTCTCTGAACTTTTCCTTTGCTGAGTTTTTATTTTTAGCTTATTTTGAAAAAAATTCAAACCTTCAGAGGAGTTGGAACAGTAGCACAAAGAACCTCCCATGTAACTTTGACCTAGATGCATCAGTTGTTTACATTCCTACCACAGTTGTTTTATCACTTTCTCCCTTAATATGTGTGCATATACACATTTTTGGTGTGTGCATTTGTGAATGTAGGGAGAGGTGATTGTTAATATTTTTAGAATGCTTTTGAACCATTTGAGAGTTACATATGTCATCCCCCTTTGTACATTAATATTTGTGATGTGTTTACTAAATTCTTGATATTCCATTTTTGTTTCTCCTTTTTCCGTTTAAAATTGCCCTGTGATGTTAACATTTTTGAAGGTGGCATTTTGTGTATGTCTGTGGAATTTTCTTTTAAGTTCTTAGAAATACTCAAAGGGAATGTATACTTTAAGTCTTTTACTATTTATTATTAAGATGCCTCCCAGAAGGGGTAAGCTATTTTTCTCTCCTAGTAAATCATTTCACTCTCATGCCAACAGGCATAACATTGCCCACTTCTCAGTCCTCTCAGCAACCTTACATACTGAATCGTCCTTTAAAAATTTCTACTTTTGAATGTGCTGGCTTACATCTGTCATTCTAGCACTTTGGATGGCCAAGGCAGGATAGTTGTCTGAGGCCAGGAGTTTGAGGCTGCAGTGAGCAATGGTCATGACATTGCACTCTAGCCTGGGTGACAGAGCAAGACACTGTTTCAAAAATTAATAACAAAATGACAAATAAAAATGTCTACCAATTTCCTAATTGAAAAGATAGCTGATTGTTTTTATTTTTTTGTATATAAGAATTATCAGATATTTAATTCCATATTGGTCATTATAATATCTTTTATGAATTGCCTCATAATATTCCTTTTTTTTTGAGACAGTCTTGTCCTGTCACCCAAGCTGGAATGCAATGGCACGATCTTGGCTCACTGCAACGTCTGCCTCCCGGGTTTAAGCAATTCTCCTGCCTCAGTCTCCCTAGGCTGTGATTACAGGCATGTACCACCATGCCCGGCTAATTTTGTATTTTTAGTAGAGATGGGGTTTCTTCACATGGGTCAGGTTGGTCTTGGCCTCCCAAAGTGCTGAGATTACAGGTGTGAGCCACCACACCCAGCCAAATATTCTTTTATTAAAAAACATTTGCTATGGGGTCGTTCATCTTTTTCTTACTGGCCTATAAGTAGTCATTATAGATTGAGGATATTAATTTCTCTGTTCACATGTACCAGATGTATTTTCCCAATTTTCCTTTTAATTGTATTTGTTGCGAGCTTTGTTTTTCATTCAGAAGCTTTACACTTTTATTTCATCAAGTCTGTCTTTTCCTTTGGAACTTCTGTCTTTAGAGTGTTGTAGAAATTTTATATGAGCACTTGCTTGTTTTCATCAGACATATTTATGATTCCTTTTTCCAGTTGTGCAGTTGTTCCATTATACATTGCTTCATGAAGTCATTCAGCACAGTACTTAATTCCTATCGTGTGTTAGATACTAGGTCTAAAAATGGTAGGCAGAGCACTTCTGGTATGGGAGAGTGTTAAAAAAATTTCATATTAAGTGTAAAGTGCTATGAAGGTAAGGAATGACACTATGGGAGGAAAATTGGGGATGGTGAACGAACTTTACAGTAGGGAATAGATGATCCCATTAAGGGAGGGATCATCTCACCCTAGCACCCAGCTTTTCTAAACCACATTTACTGAATAATATTTCCAATAGATCTGAGATACTGCTTGGATTATCTAATTCATTCCTTGTGCATACTAGTGTTAACTTCTAAACTGCTATTTGTTCCATTGATGAAAGTATTAGTGGACCATTACAGAACTGTTTTAATTATTAGATTTCTATTATGTGGTTGTATTTCTTAGGCCATTTCTTTTCAGAATTTTTTTTGACTAGTATCACAGTATATTCTGCCATATTCACTTGAATAAAAAAGTGTTCTCAAATTACACAAAACCTTTTCAGATTTTGATTAACATCATGCTGAGTTTTCACTATAATTGAGAAAAATAAGCCTCTTCGCATGATGTGGGCATTTTGACATAAGAACTACTCATGTAAAATGTACAATTTGGTAAATTTTGACCTATTATATATCTATGAAGTTGTTACTCCAGTCACGATAATGAACACTCCCTTCACACCCAAAGTTTTCTCATGTATGTTTTTAATCTCTCCCTCTCACTCTGTCTTCAAGCAAACACTGATATGCTCTGTTTTTATAGATTAGTTTAGATTTTCTAGACTTTAATATGGAGTTGTAAACTATGTACTTACTTTGTCTTCTTTTACTCAGCATACTTGTTTGAGATACATTTATGTTGTTGTGTGTACCAATAGTTCATTTTTAGCTGAATTGCATTCTAATCCCTAGTTTGTCAGTTTGTGTGTTGATGGTATGTTTCTAGTTTTTTTGGCTGTTGCAAATACAACTGCTGTGAACATTCATGCCCAAGTCTTAGTGTGGACTGTTTTCATTTATCTTGGTTAAATACTTAAGAGTGGAATGCCTGGTCACATGCCAGGTGTGTGCTTAACTGCCAGAAACTGTCAAACTGTTTTCCAAAGCAGTTGTACTATTTTATATTAATTTCCACTAGCAGTACATGGGAAGTTTAGATTGTTCCACATTCTCATTAACATTTGGTGTGGTTAATCTATTTTTTTTTTGAGACAGTCTTGTTCTATTGCCCAGGCTGGAATGCAATGGCATGATCTTGGCTCACTGCAACCGCTGTCCCCCAGGTTCAAGTGATTCTCTTGCCTCAGTCTCCCCAGTAGCTGGGATTACAGGCACCTGCCACCATGCGTGACTGATTTTTTGTGTTTTTAGTAGAGATGGGGTTTTGCCATGGTGGCCAGGCTGGTCACCCAACTCCTGATCTCAATTGATCCACCCACCTATCTCAAAGTACTGGGATTACAGGTGTGAGTCACTGTGCCCAGCCAGTTAGTCTCTTTAATTTTAGGTCATACCTAGTGGTATATGGTGTTACTCTATTGTGGGTTTAATTTGCATTTTCCTTATTACTAATTGTAGTGAGCATCTTTGCATATTTATTCTGTATCTATTTTTTTTTTTTTGGTGAAGTGACTGCAAATTTTTGCCCACTTTTCAATTGGGTTTTGTTTTCATATTACTGAATGTTGGTGGTTCTTTATGTATTCTGTATATAAACCTGTTGCTATGGATATGATTTGTAAATGTTTTCTGTCATTTTTTCTTTTTAGTCTTATAACAGTGTTTCAAATAGCAAAAGTAGCTAATTTGAATGAAGGCTGGTTTACCAAGTTTTTCTTTTATGAATTGTGCGTTTGGTATTACCTTAAGACATTTTCTGTAACTCAGGGTCACAAAGATTTTTTCTGAGCTTCCTGTAGGAATTTTATAATTTACTTTTACATTTAGGTTTATAATTTCTATCAAGTTAATTTTTATATATGGTGTAAGATAAAGAACAGGGTTTTTGGTTTCTTTTGGTGTATGGCCATGTGATTGTTACACCATTTGTTAAGATTCGTTTTTCCTCATTTAATTGCTTTTGCACTTTTTACAAAAAATTAATTGACTATATGTATGGATCTCTGGACTGTTGTATTGATTTATTTGTCTGTAGTTATGTCAATACTGCATTTCCTGGAATTCAGGTAGTGTGAATCTTCCAACTTTGTTCTTTTTTTCAAAATTTTCTTGGATATTGTATATTCTTTGCATTTTCATACGAATTTTCGAATCAACTTGTCAATTAGGGAAAAAAACTGCTGGGATTTTGTTTTTCATTGACTCTGTAGATAAGTGTGTGGTGATGTAACAATATTGAGTCTTCTGGTTTATGAATAGGATGTACCTTTTTAATTATTAGTCTCAGCAGTGTTTTGTAGTTTTCAATGTATTTTGTACATCTTTTGTCAAGTTTATTCCTAAATATTTCATATCTCTGGTATTTAAAAATTTTTTCTAATTATGGCTAATATATAGAAATATAGTTGACTTTTGTATATTGCTCTTAAATGTTGCTAAGGGATGAGGTATGTTACTCTCATCCTTTAGTAATTCTAGTAGCTTTATTATAGATTACATAGGATTTTCTGTATAGTCAGTAATATTTTTTAAATAAAGACAGTTTTACTACTTCTTTTCTAACGTGGATGCCTTTTGTTTTCCTGCCCTATTGCGTTGACTAGTCTGGTAATATGATGAATTATGTTGATTGACTTTTGGATATTAAACTAAACCCCATTTGGTCATGATTTGTTATCCCGTGTGTATTTGTTGTTGGATTTGTTTTGCAAAGTTCATGGGGGATGTTGGTATTTAGTTTTGTTGCAATGCGCCTGCCTGGTTTTACTGTCAGAGTAATGCTGACCTTGTACAGTGAGTTAGAAGTAGTGGTATTATTTCTCCTCAAATATTTGGTAGAATTCCCTAGAGAAGACTTTGGGCCTGGGATTTTCTTTGTGGTAAAGTTTTTAACTACAGATTCAACTTATTTAATAGACATAGGGCTACTTAGGGTATCTGTTTCTTTTGGAGTGAATGTAAATAAGTTTGACTGGAAGCTGATTTTTCTGTTTTTCTATTGAATTTGTTTCTGTTTTATTCTTTATTTCTCTTTTCTTGTTTTTACTAAAATTTGCTTTTTTTCTAGTTTCATAAATTTACTGATTTGAGACTTTATTTTCTAATAAGGAAAGGTTAATGCTATAAATTTCCCTTTAAGCACTACTTTAGCTGCAGCCCACAAGTTTTATTACATTTTTATTTTCATTCAGTTCAAAATCTTACTTTTCTCTTTGACTCATGTTTCTTTTGTTTAGTTTCCAAATATTTGTGGATTTTTCTGATTTGACTTAATTTGAACGTAGTTCAAATACACTTTGCTTATTTTAAATTTAATGAGACTTATTTTATTTCCCTAGTCTTCCCTCCTTCCCCTACCCCATTATTCTTTTTCTTTTGAAATTAAAGTTTATAAATTATTTTACTGTATGACATCCTTTGTCTGCTTGTTTGTTTTGCGTGCTGTGTTAGAGGTTCTTACTGTCAGTCTCAGCTAGGAGACTCCAGGTATCTACTTTTGTTTAGCCATTGGTGCTCATCAGTGAGTTACACAGATGATGCTTAGTAAATTACTTAACTATTAAGTTGCCTGTTATAGATTTAAAAGATATGGCAAAGGGGGTGTAATAATTGTAAAGTACAGAGTATTGCAATACCAAAAAAAAAGGGGGTCATGTAACATTACTTTTGTTTTCTAGGTAATGTGTGTTTCTTTATTTTACCTTTAAACAAAGCTGTTGATTACATCTATGTACTTCTTAATTGGTTTTTAGGCTTTTTATGGAAATTCTCAATGACTGTTCTGATGTGGATGAGATCAAATTCCAAGAAGATGGTTCTTGGTGTCCAATGAGACCGAAGAAAGAAGCTATGAAAGTATCCAGCCAACTGTGCACAAAAATAGAAAGTATGTATAAGAACAGCAGCAGAGAGCAAAGCAGTGAGACTCGTGCCACATTATCATTAATCTTGGCCCCTACAATCATAAATTTGGAATTCAGCTTGTTGACTTAATCTTTTGATATATATAATTTCCCCCAAATGACTTTTATTCTTGCCTGAAGAAATGTCCTAAAGTTTATACTATCTTAGCAGCTACTTCATAGTGTATTTTTCTGTGTAGAAAAAGTGAAACATTCATCTAAAATCATTTTAATGTATGATGTTTGTTACAGAACAAAAAGTCACAAATACATTTATACGGACAGTTTTTCAGAATTGTTTTTAGAATATTTGTAAGTGGAACCCTAGGTGGAGGTGAGGTTAGATAGGCTACATCATTGATTAATAACCTTGGTAGTGTGGAGGTGATCACAGGTTAGTTGCTCGGAAAATAAACAAGTTGTTTCCTTCCATGTCTCTGTGGGAAGGAATTTTACCATTGCCTTAATTACCTAGAATGTGTACTTATCCATCAACTGCCTGCATCTGTCCACACTAAGTAGGGAAACTGAGGGCATTTTGAATAATTGAAACTCACTGGTGAACTTAGAGTTTCTTTTTATCCAACAGTCTACTCTCTGCATTTCAGTTTTGTGCTGATTACATGTAATTTCTAACAAACAATGTAATGAATAATTAGAGTAAGAAGAGAGGGGGGAAAAAAATAAAGGATTTATGCCATTATTATTTCTCTGTGATTGATACTGAACCTGAGGTTCTCTCATCTTTGAGAAAAATGGGGAGTCCAAGTGTTCTCTCATCTTTGAGAAAAATGGGGAGTGATTTACTTAAGTTTCTATTGTTTTTCCATTATTAACTATCATTCATTTTTAACTAAATACAGAGAATAATATACTTTTCTATGAAAATGTGAGTTAACGAATATGGTATGTGAGACTATCTTTGCGGGCAGAAGGAACCTATGATTAGTAGGTAATTCACAAGAAAGTTTAACTGTTTGAATAACTTAAGTGAGAGGTTTGGGTTTTTACAGCTTATCACGGTGAAAGTTTTTATGAAGTTCTAGCTTATGGTGAAAAGTCTGTATACTTTCTTTGATACGACCATAATAGAATGGAAATACCTGGTGCTGAGTGAACTGTGCCACATGTCTGTGAGAATACACAGGTGAAATCACCTATTCTTGCATGGCCTGAGAGCAGTTCCCTAACCAGCAGTTAGCCAAAACCATAGGTTTGTGGCTTCACTGTGGCTGTGCATCATCAGGAATTTACTATACTGAATATACTAGACACCATGGCTAGAGTTTCTGTTATACCTTTGATTTTTTTTTTTCCTTTTTTTTCCTTACATGCAGGTTCAAGTGTCCTCAGTAAGCCTTGTTCAGTGACTGTAGCCAGTGAGGCAAGCAAGAAGAAAGTAGATGTTATTGATCTTACAATAGAAAGCTCTTCTGATGAAGAGGAAGACCCTCCTGCCAAAAGGAAATGCATCTTTATGTCAGAAACACAAAGCAGCCCAACCAAAGGGTTTGTTAATTTATAGTTCACTATTGTTCATTATACTTGCAACTAATTGCTTTTGGGATAGGTTTATAAATGTCTCTTTGGGAAATGGCATAAATATAGAAGGCTATTTTAATTTGCTTTTGTTCAGTTGAAATACTTTCAAATAAGCACATTGTTTACAGGAAAGCAAATTTTGATGGAGAAAATATTTACATCTTTGGAAAGTGAGCGTGTGAGGTATTTATTTCCTACCTGAGACTTTTTATTATTTTCTTGAACGTATTTGTAAGGAAATTTGGCATCTCAGACCAGCATGAGAAAGCCTGGTGTAATGGAGTGTGGAACTGGGAGTCTGACAAGTTTGGATTCCAATTTTGGCACCATCACTCACTTGTTCTGTGATCTTACATGAAATACTTAATTTGATTGAGCCTCTTTTTTGTGTTCTGTTAAATGGAGCTAAATAATGCCTATATTACAGGATTATTTTCAGGTTTTAATGAGATGATGAAAGAAAGCCTCAGTGTCAGGCATGTGGTAATTTCTCAATAAAAATTGATTTCTTTCCCTTCTCATCCTTTCCAGGGAAAAATATGTTCAGGTAGAATGGCATTTTACCTGAATTTTAGCATGGATTCTCTATAAGTTATCTGGCAGAAGCCATTATTGACCTGTATTAAAAGATAGGTTTAAGTATTTAGCAGTAGTTGCTTTTTCAGAGAGGTTTTGGACCATGCAAGGAGATAACAGGAGAGTTAGTTCTCTTGACAGTCCACAAACACATTCTTTTAAACTCGGGTGTTTTGGAGTCATCTTTTTTGACCTCTTGGTCTGCTTAGTTTTATAATGGCTTTACCGAGGTATGATTTACATAGAATAAAATGTACCCATCTTAAGTATATAATGCACAATTCAGCAATTTTAGTATTATATACATAGAGCTGTGCAGTTGTCACCATGATTCAGTAGTAGAATATTTTCAACACCAAAAAAAACTTCCTTCATGTTCTTTTGTAGTTTATTCCTATTTACACCCCAAATCTAGGCAATCTTTTTTTTTTGTCTCTATAATGTCTGTTCTAAACATTTTATATAAAATGTACTTCTGCAACATTTTTTATAGCTTTAAGAACTAAATCTTTCAGCTACCTTCTTTACTGTTAAAATACTTGTTTCCAGATATAGTTTACACAAATAGTAAGGTATTTACTTTTGTCCATTTAATTAGAATGAGGTGGGATTTTTGTGTTTGTGGAACAAATGAGGAAATGATTTCAAGTGGGTTTTTTCCTGGTGTGCCAGTCATTTATTGCTCCTTTGAAACAAATCGGTTGGTACATCTATAGTTTAAATGATAGAACATGAAGAAATAATTTTGAAATGGTTACTGGGGTGGAAAATGAAGGGAATGAATGCTTAGATGTCATGTTTCTGGATTTTTCTCTCTAATGATATCCTTTAGAATATACTGGAAAAACATGAGTTGCAAGTACTGTAGTTGCCTTAATTCATGCCAGGTTGAGAGGTCATGCCTAGCAGTGCTGACTCATGAATTGATGTGATCTTGGAGCATGTCTCTGGTGGCATGCCACAAGGGTCTACCCTCTGTCCTTTACCACATTTTTATCTGTACTTGATGAGCCTATGAAACAGGAGGAATGGCACATACACAGTGGGTGACAAAATTTGAAATGACCTCACTATAAAGAGGAATAAGGATAGTTTACATCTGTGGTCATCTACTATAGCGATAAATGTTAAGGCTCCTCATCTAGGCTGAAAAGAAAACAAAAACTAACATTGGTAAGTATAAGGTAGAAATTTGTGATTAAATCAGCAACACATGAAAGTTTTTATTTTAAAAGTCTGTGTAAAATGCAGCTACCTAGTTCATTCCATGAAGCTGGTATAGCCCTTAACACCCAACTTAGACATACACATTAATACCCACATGAAAGAACAGACATACACATTAATACCCACTTGGAAGAACTCTTAGGAAAAACAGACTCACATAGAAAGGTAAATGAAAATTCTGAATTCAGTCTTAGGAAATCATTTAATTATATATTAAAATGACATCTGTGACCAAGTTGAGTTTATCCTAGGAGCGCTTTAATATTAGAAAATATACTGATAAGATGGATCTTATCATAAGGACAACTATATAGTCATCTTCATGGTTGCTGGAAAGGCATTCCATGAATTGCCATTTCTGAGAGAAACTCTTTCAAATGTCAGATTTCACTTAATGATTTGAACGGTTCATCACTTAACCAATTTGTTCTTAGCATTAATAAAAGAAGCATAGACTAGGCGCAGTGACTCACGCCTGTAATCCCAGCACTTTGGGAGGCCAAGATGGGCGGATCACAAGGTCAGGAGATCGAGACCAGTCTGACCAACATGGTGAAACTCCATCTCTACTAAAAATAAAAAAATTACCTGGGTGTGGTGACGCACTCCTGTAATTCCAGCTACTCGAGGCTGAGGCAGGAGAATTGCTTGAACCTGGGAAGATCCTGCCACTGCACTCCATCCTGAGTGATAGAGTGAGACTCTGTCTCAAAAAAATAAAAAAATAAAAATAAAAGAAACATAGTGTCCAGGATCCATACCATGCCAGTTTTGTTTCATTTTAGGCTGTATGACTCTCAGAGCATTTCAGTCAGTGCTGATCATCAAGAATGGTATTAACAAATGAGTATGGCCACAGCAGGGGAACAGGAAGGTGAATAGTGGAACCTGGAGCATGACAGATGGGTGGCTCTTATGTACCGAAGCTGTTAAACCAGGAGAAGAGATTATGTGATAGACACCTTATAGTTCTTAAAAGGGAGACATTGACTAGCTGGATTAAGTTTATTCTTTGTTACCAGATTGAGATCCAGTGGTCTAAAGATACAGGGACAGACTTTCTATTGGAGCTTTCCGAACACTAGGAAATTTAATCTTTTGTCCCAAAATCATGTTTTCTGTGTTAGAGTGGCTGCCACCTGTCAGTGTCATAGTGGAGGCTCATGCTATGGTTATATCATCTCTGTGATTCTTTCCTACTCTTTAGATGTTTGTGGCTTTGTTCCTGGTCGTCCTTTTTATACTCTTTCTTGTGGCTCAGCATCTAAAGTTTTTACGGTTTTCCTATGCTGTGTAAGTTTATCTTAGGATTTCTTGGCCATCAATGATAGTAAGCAAATGAGGAAGAGTAGAGAATGAGAAAACTTACTCTAATTTACAGCTCCAAAATTATGTGAGCAACTATTTTTTTTAAGAAGAATATATGTGAAAAATAGACAAAAAGGTGTAAGACCTTATATTCAGTAAAACATTTATAATCTTACTGTATTGTAAAATACAATATATATTTTCATTTTGGAAACCAAAATTAATATGACAATGATTATCTGTTGAGGACTCCATTTCAACCTTTAGACTTGTACATAACATGAAGTTGGAAACGTATGAAGATGATCAAATAGGAAAACCAGAACTCTTTTAATCTGTTTTTTAACTGAATAATGCAGTTGATTACTCTAAAATTTGAAATCCTACCTTATTGCAGAAATAATAATAGCAAAAGGAAAAAAATCATTCATTAAACTTTTACTAAGTATAAGGAATTTCTAAATTGTCCCAAGTAAAATGTCCATGACTTTTTGTGATAGATACTGTAATCACTGTTTTACAGATGAGAAAACAGAGTGTAAAAGACTTATAGCATACTGTGGTAAAGGCTACAGCCAGGAACCTAAGGGCATTCAAGGGATTTTGAGAGGGACAGCAGAGGGTAGGTAGGTTGGGGAGGGATAACATGGGGAGAAATGCCAGATGTAGGTGACGGGGGGATCGAGACAGCAAACCACATTGCCATGTATGTACCTATGCAACAATGCTGCATGATCTGCACATGTACCCCAGAACCTAAAGTAAAATAAAAAAATGTGTGTGTGTGTACACACACACACACATATGTGAAATTATAATAATTAGATATCAGTGAGAAACCATTTTGCCACAGAAAATAAATTTAAATTCTCTTGCAACTATTTTTTTTAATTAATTAGTTTATTTTGATTTTTTGAGACAGGGTCTTAGTTTGTTACCCAGGCTAGAATGTAGTGGTGTGATCTCGGCTCACAGCAGCCTTGATCTCCTGGGTTCAAGCGCTTCCCCTGCCTCAGCCCCCCAAGTAGCTGGAACTACTATGCCCAGCTAATTTTTTGTGTTTTTTGTAAAGATGGGGTTTTACCATGTTGTCTAGGCTGGTCTCAACCTCCTGAGCTCAAGCCATCTACCTGTCTCAACCTCCCAAAATGCTAGAATTACAAAATGCATGAGCCACCACGCCTGGCCTGTAAGCAACTATTTTTTAAGAGGTATATTATTTTAGTAAAAATTATTCTTACAAACAATTTTATAAAGCACCAAGAAGAAAGCAAAAAATATCTCACCTAGAGAGAATTATTGCCATTTTCTTTGCATACCAACTGGAGTCTTTAAATGCAGTCTTATAATACTTATCAGAAGAAACTTGTATGTTAATCTTAAGACATTTAGAAAACCTCTGATGTTTTGCCATATTCAAAGATAATTTTACATATTATGCCCCTTCCCCACTGCTGGAGATTGAATGGTTGCTTTGCCTTAATAAGGCGGTATTCTGAAGATAGGAAACATAATAAGGATAAATCTGTATGTCTCCAGATTAGTAATCATTAGGAATTGGTAGCAAAATTGAATCTTTTTTATACTTTTGTGATCATAAAGTGGGAACATACAGTGAACTTCAGGGTTATAAATAGAAATTGTCAGTCCTTTTTCAGATATCCAAGTCCGAGCCAAATGTGAGTTTCATGCAATTCTATGATCCAGCGTATAATTCGGATTAGTAATATTTGCTATATAGCAGCATTCTAGCAATTCACATTTGTGTTGTGATATTATGGATAAAGTTACAAAAGTTTAGAATATATGTGTACACTTGCATAATGTATACATGTATCTGTGTGTGTTTACCAATCCTAAGAAGAGGCAATAACAAATTTTAAAAGCTTTAAATCTTTTTATTACCATATAGCATTCACAGTTTTACATCCATCATTTTGCCATCCATAGCCATTTACATTTTTTCATGGAATCTGTTACTCATATCTGTAAATACATCTATTTTTTGCATAGAATTTAGAAGCATTTTGTTTCTGAATGTGGTTCTTGGGAAGATTCCAATAGCAAAAACCTGCTCCTAGTATTTAATTTGATAATCCTGACTAATGACTACTTTAGCCACTCTATATAAAGTTGAATTTGTATTAATGGTTGCAACATTCAGGTAATGGGAATTAACCAATACTAAATAGTTTAGCTTTTCATATGTTTGCTGAGGTTTTAGATATTATTAATTTACTAATTTGTATCCCCATTGGATTTTCACATTTCCATGTTTTGACAGCCAGCAGTTGCTATTGCTTAAGTAAGGAGTAGCTATTTTATCATTAAAGTTTCATGTTGTTAAGTGACAGGACACGTGCAGTTATTAGGTGTTACTGTGGTGACAGACAGGTGTGTGGGGGATATTCACTTGACTCCTCTATAGATGTAAGTCAAAGGGTCAGGGAAGGGAAGGGAACTCTGTTATTGTTGTTATTTATAAGTCTATTTCAAGTTGAAGGGTCGATCAGGATCAAAACAAGAAAATCTCCAGTGTGAAATAGCAAAGGAAGAAAAAGAGGAGTGGGAGAAAGACATTCATTGTCTTTTTCTTGTACCAGAAAGTCTTCCAGTTTCTTTGAGTGACAGAGAAAAAAACATGATAGGTTAAATGTGCTTTTTTTTTTTTGAGGCAGCATCTTACTTTGTCGTCCAGGATAGAGTGCAGTAGAACATTCATGGCTCACTGCAGCCTTGACCTCCTGAATCTTCCCACCTCAGCCTTCTAAGTAGCTAGCACCTTAGCCATGCTTCTGCACATGTGGCTTTTTTTTTTTTTTAATTAATTTTTGTGGATACAAAGTCTCCCTGTGTTGCCTAGTCTGGTCTGGAACTTCTGGCTCAAGAAATCCTCCTGCCTTGGCCTCCCAACGTCCTGAGATTACAGGTGGGAACCACCTTGCCTGGCTCTAAATGTACTTTTAAGTAGAATCTTTTTAAATTAAATGAAACTTTATATATTTTTGGTCTTTAAAAGCCTGCTATTAACATTTTTAAAAAACACTTTTTAAAAGATATTAATACTTTGAGACAGCCAGAATGATCAGAGCCACTTCTTTAGCCCCTTCCCCAGCACTCAGATATACCCCAATCTCTCTCTCCTCCTTACCCACTGTGTCTTTCCTCCAATTTCTCATATAAACTCTTGTGTGTGAGAGGTGGTCTCATGTTATTTGGAAAACTTTTGATGATGTTCTGTTCTTCTGTGATCCCTGTAGAGGACCGCTGTTTTCAAACCTCCAAAAACATGAGCTTTAGATACAATATAACTTATTTTATATCCTCCAACTTCTCCTTTCCTCCAGAGTCTGCCTTTTCTAACATTGCTCACATCCTGCTTGTGGTTTTAGGTCCTGGAGTAGCACTGGAGGCTAAGAAATCTCCAGATTCTAACCTACAGGAAGGTGGTTGATTTTTGGAAGATAACTTCTTTCTATCTTTATCTACCTCAGGAAAATGTATTTTCAAATACTAGGCTTATGTTATTGCCTCAAGCATATTTTATTTGTCATAAGCTTCTTAAATTTTAATCCAAGATTTCTGAACTCTAGCCTGTGTTATTCACTTTTCTGAGACTAACATAGTTGCCAATTCAACCATGTATGTACTCTCAAGACAACTGTTTTCCACATTGGTAGTGACATCTGTTTTTAAGTGGTTTGACATTTAAACTGAAGTTATGAAATAGTTTGTCAGAGTACAGAGAATGTCATGCAAATTGGCATGATTTCTTCTTACCGATATTTAATAATCAGCAATAACAGGAAAGGGAAAGGATGTCCAGAAGTTGTCAATCGCAGTCTAGCTTTGTGTGACCATGGTTCTACTTTAAGTTTCTAAGACACTTTCTTCATCTTCGTAATGGTCCCTTCAGCTACAGAATTCTGTGCCTTTATCATTAAGCTTATGGTAATTGACTGGCAGTGCTTTGGGATACTAACCTTGATGTTGTACCCCTTGTTTGCAAGGTAGCCACCATCAACCATAAGACCAGTAATGATGCTCAGTTTCGTATATACATTCAAGGATGTCTTTCTTGTGAAGTTGTAGTTGTTTACCCTGAGAAGTGCAGGTTAAATAGGAAGAATGCAAAAAAAAAGTCTCTGTTTAAGCTTGAACTTTTTCAAAAATATGTTTAATTATACTGCTTCTTGAAATTATAAAAATCCTATAGTGTATATATTTATATAATGCCAATTGTGAAGTATTTATTACATATGTTTAATCTGTATTTTTAGTAGCATGAAAAGCTCATTTTAAAATCATAAACCCTCTTAGGATTTCACCTGCCTGGTAGGTGGTATCATGGTAGCCAGCATTTTTATTTCTGGACATTATATTTTAAATCCTGAATACCCATCTGCATTTCTGATTGTGGCCTATTGCCATCAAGTTTGCTGGCTTTAAGATTGGGTAATTTGGCTCAGATGATTTCCAGAAAACATTGCAAATAATTAATACAATTCAAGTTAGAATTGAAGAAATTTGGGTTGTGCTATAGTGAGTAGCTTCACTCATAAAGGTTCCCTGATTTAGATCAAACCTTAGGGGTCTTTCTATGTTAGCTTTAAATTTGTAGGTAAAATCACTGATGCCCATATACATATTACATACACATTAATAAAAGTGACGTCTATTTCTATTTTGGATGAAAGTGTTATATCTTATTCCAGCACTGTACATTGTGATTGAATGTCAACTTGCTCTATGTCGCAGCTGCTGTTGAGAGCCAAGATATGTTCATGTTAAAATGAAGACTGTTATGGGAGAGGAGAGGAGAGTGGAGTGCTGTGTAGTGAGTAGCTGCCATATAGTTGTGCTGAAATTAGTGAAGAAGCGACTGAGAATGCCCAGTGGTACAGCTCTTCTCTCCTGTGAACTAACAGCCAGATTGTTTGTAATTTCCCATGCTATTTAAAACAGGGTTCTCATGTATCAGCCATCTTCTGTAAGGGTGCCCAGTGTGACTTCGGTTGATCCTGCTGCTATTCCGCCTTCATTAACAGACTACTCAGTACCATTCCACCACACGCCAATATCAAGCATGTCATCAGATTTGCCAGGTATGTAGAGAGTTTTTATTTTATTTTCTTTTTTTTTAATCAAAGTTTATTATTTTAAATTTTAATCTGTGAAGCCAATATAGTTTTGAAATTTTAAATAGAAATGCTAAGGAAATTTGAAGACGTCATGTAAAGGTCATATCTGTTTTTATACATCACATCCAGTTGTTATTTTAACTACAGAGCAAGCTATAGATTCCTGTTGATGAGAAATATAGTAGAATAATAAATGTTATAGATTTTAGTCTCGCATTTGGAGAATTTGTACTAAGAGACTTTTTCTTGATTTATTTATTAGAAAACCTCACAGATGAGGGGAGAATATTTTCTCATACACTCCTTGGTAGCCCATCAGAACTTCAGAATATACTGATGCTGTTTGGGGTTGATTTTTTTTTTTTAAATACTAGCTGTGCATTTTATTCTCCTTACAAAGATAGGGTCTACCATCTGTTTCCCTAGAGTGGGCTTAATACTTGGGGATATCTTTTATATGTACAGTAGTTTCCCCTTATCCACAGGGGATAAGTTCTAGGACCCCCAGTAAATGCCTGAAGCCACAGATATTACAGAATCCTGTATATTGTTTTTCTTTTTCTATACAGACATACCCATGATAAAGTTGAATTGAATTTTTAAATTAGGCATAGTAAGAGATGAACAACAATAATATTAAAATAGAACAGTTAGAACAATATGCTGAGGTCACTACTCTTGCGCTTTTGTGTCATTATTAAGTAAAATAAGGATTACTTGAACACAAGCACTATATACTGAAATATAGTTAATCTGATAACTTAGATGGCTATTAAGTGACTAGAGCTGAGAGCCACTGGACAAAGGAATGATTCATGTCCTGGGTGGGATGGAGCATATGGAGCCAGGACAGCATGAGATTTTGTCAGACTATTCAGAGCAGTGTGTAATTTAAAACCTATGAATTATTTATGGAATTTTCCATGTGATATTTTCTGACTGCAGTTGACCACAGGTAACTGAAATTACAGAAGGCAAAACCCTGGATTAAGGGGGAATCTACTGAATAATACTAAGGTTGCTTGAATTACCTTAGTATCATGACTTCTGCAACCAAGACCATATTACAAAATTTAAACTTCCCTCCTTTACTCTTCTTCCCTCTCTCTGTAGCCATTGCTTTTGCAGACATTTCTGTGAATTATATTTGAGCAAATTAGAACCAGTACATTCATGACTTCCTGTCTCTTGGAAGGCCCTTTTAGTGGAGTACAATTCTCTCCTCTTGTTACTAGTTTTCTTCTCTAGATTTATGAAGTTAATTTTGACCTATGATTTATTTTTTTTCTCCCCTTAGTAAGGTCTTTATTTTAAGCAGAATACTTACCCTGTTGGTGGAAATTTGTGTTACTGAAACAATTGATAATTAGCTCAATATAATTTTGCCACCTGAAATTTGTTTCAATTATGTGAATAAAATTTAGTGGACAAGATTAAACATTTTATAGTATACATTGAAAAAATGGCTTTTAAAAATATTTTTTACTTTTTAAATATATTTACTCCATACGTAATTTGGGAGTTGGTATTTTAAGAAGTTCTTTATAGACCCAGCTAGCACAAGTTATAAAGTATTTGTGAAGTATATACAAAGTCTGATGCTAAGGTACAGGTGAGATTTCATGTCTGTGACAAAGATGGAAACTCAGATTCTTAATTCCTAACTGCCTTATATTGCTTTAACCTTGGCTGGTTGGATGAGTGTCCGCATGTCATCTCAGTATGTGTTATAAGCAAGCATTCTAAAAGAATTTGTTTCCTAAAGACCTTAAATTAAAAATTAATCCTAAAGAAAGATAATGAGCATTTCTGCTTATTAAAATGATCCTACCATTCAGCAGTAGCATAGACACAATTTACAAGTTACTTGCCCTGTTTTTCAATTCTCTAAATCTGGATGATTTTTTTAATTTTGGAAAGTTTATATTATTTCAAACTTTGGGCATAAAGTGAGAGAGACTATTTCTTTTTAGAAATATGCAAACTTGAGAAAAATGCAGTAAAATGTGTGTGAACTGGGTATTTGGTAAAAATGCATTGCAAGCTGGTATTGAGCAAACAAGACTAATATCCAAGGCTGATATTAAGCCAATATTAACCATTATGGTGATACTGGTTGTTATTATTAAAAAGCTTTCTTACCAATTGATCACTGAATAGAAGAGGATATATTGTGCTTTAGAAAAATTGCTAGTTTATCATCATATATGATTTATGTAGCAGTTACTATATCTAAATAGTTTAGTTTTACTTTGATTTTATTGTTAATGAACTCTTTAGTAATTAGTAATTACTTTGGTTTTATTTTATGTATAACTTTATGTAATTAGTCATACTGTGAAGAGTTTTGGTATTGATAACTTAATAATTTATAATAAAATATTAAATAGAACACCAATAATGGAGAGATAACAAAGTTTTAATACATTTCTTAACATTTCTTTTAAACATCATAAACATGAATCTTCTGAATCTGCAGGAGAACAAAGAAGAAATGATATTAATAATGAACTGGCGCTTGGAACATCTTCTGATACTGTGCAACAGTGAATACAAAATAAAACAAATAATTTTATTTATGGAGTGGAAAACAGCTTGATTATTTCAAGGAAAAATATGACTGCCTTATTATTGCTAGTGCCATATTGTCAGGTGCGAATGGTGCTCAAAAGTTGTATCATTAAAATTTGAAAGTGCTAAACATATACATATTTAGTCATGTAGCAGTTATGTTTTGTTAAAAGTTTATGGCTCATGTAAGAAAAATGTGTTTTCATCAATGAGGAAAGATGTCTAATGAGTCAATTTCACAATGAAGCACTTAAAATTTTTAAATTAAAATTTTATCAGTGTTAATAGTGTTAACACTACCTGCTTTTTAGTTAAATTAAGCATTTCAACCATGAAATTCTTAGGAGGGCATAAAAATATATCAGTTTGACATGCTGCAGTTGAAACTTACGGTGAAATATGAAACAGCATTTTGCTAAACTTATGAAACAAGGCAGTAAAATTGTAATCACTACTGATAAAACTTTATTTCATATAAGAGTTTTAATATTCTGCTAAAAATGTAAAATGCAAGAAGACTTTGATGGTTTTTTTTTTGTTAGAAAGAACAGCATCTAAAATACTATATCAAACTTCACTTTTAGTACCTGAGGAGAAAAATGGTTTCAGTGAGAGAAATATGTACATTAGACAAGGTTTATATAGACAGCACCTGTGTAATGCTTGGTAGACAGTCTAGAATTCCAACCAAAATTTTAGAAAAATTTCTAGGTATTTTATTATGGTGGTATATAAGTCACCACATTCAAGTCTCCATGGATGAGGTATCAAAAGATATAGATCAAGTAAATGTCTTAATTCTTTTCTAAATAGTCTTTATATTTACCTGCCACATATGAAATCATCAAAGAGAATTACAGTACATCGAAGAACTGGAATTGAAATAATGAAAACAGGAAAAGTCTTTGGTCCTTAATGAACATTCTCTGGGGATAGTTTCAGTTTTTAATTTCATTTAAAATAAATACACAGGCTTGACATAATTTTTAAACGTTTTATATCAAGCTTGTGTATTTTAATTGAAATTATGAAATGGAAATAGTTGAACATTTAGAAAATGAGCATTTTTGAGTGGTTTGGCTTTAGCACACAATATTCCAACAGCATTGTCAATACTTTAGCATTATAAAAAGGTTTCAATTACTAACATGGATGAGAGATAAACAAACATTAAAATGATTGAACACATGAAACTGAAAAAGTATAAAAAGGTAGGAGCTGTGGTAAAAATGAAGAAAAATGAAAAACTATGAAAAGGTGGAAGTTATTGTAAAAATGAAGAAAACATACCATTTAAAGCAGAACAAAATAAATAACATTTCCATAAACTTATAATAGAAATACTGAAAATGCAAAACTCTGAAGGTATTATAAGGGCTAGACAAATTTTGAATTACCGTTTGGCAGAAGCAGAGAGGGGATTTACTGAACAGTGTTAGGAAGAAAGAGTCTGCTTATTGAGATATCTTACCTATTATTTTAATAGAGAAGTCATTGGAAAAGTTTGTTATAATTCTCTTTAGTTTAGTATTGGCTCAAACTGCTGTATCATAGTGACAGACTTATGAAATGAAAAATCACAGCAAGCTGGGTGCAGTGGCTTATGTTTGTAATCCCAGCACTTTGGGAGGCTGAGGTTGGAAGATTGCTTGAGTCCTGGAGTTCTGAACCAACCTGGGCAACATAGCAAGACCCTGTCTCTACAAAAATAATAATAATAATTAGCTGGGCTTGGTGGCACATGCCTGTAGTCCCTGCTACTTGGGAGGCTGAGGTTGGAGGACTGCTTGAGCCAGGAGGTAAAGGCTGCATTGAGTTATAATCGTGCCTTTGCACTCTCACATCAGCAACAGAGCAGACTCAGTGTCTCCCAAAAAAAGGAAGAAAAAAAAATGTATAGCAACAATTTTAAATGCTTTAGAAATCGTTGGAATGATTTCTTTCAGATGATTGGTGCTACAGTTTGTATCACTTGGTAAGCATTTTTGTAATACCCTTAATTAGAGATTATAAGAGAATAAATATATTTAAATTTTTTGAGTTATAAATTCATACTGGTTATTAAATATCCCCACTGATATTTTCCATTTTGTATTAAAGCATAATGTCAGACTTTCTCTGTGTGGTGGTTATATTCGGAGTGTCACTGAATGCCAGCATAAAAATTCATGGAATTGAATAGAAAAATTGGCCTGTCTTAATGACCTATGGTTTCTTTTTTAATGTTTTGAAGTAATTGAAGGGAGTTTAGTCACACAGGGAGGTCTAGGTGAACCGACTTTGAAGTTTATTACTAGACTTTTCAGACCTGGAATTTTAAATTATGTATTGTTATTACTTGAATACGTCACAATTATATTACTGGACAACCTTTTACACATTCCTCTTTTCTAAAACCTAATTGAACAATTACAGTTCCCTGGTTTAGAAAATTACATTAGCTCAGAACCCAATAACCCTTAATAACTTAAGCCTGTTAGCGCAGCAATTCCCGAGTGTGTCCTTTGTGCAAAGCGTTGGACTGTGTATTGCTCTTGATGTGGGGACAGTGGGGACAGTAAGCTATCATTGAAATAGACATCTGTTTAAAAGTGATATTTAGATGAACATCTGTATTTCTGAAAAATAAATATGAAGTAACTTAAGAGCTTAAGTATGTTTTTTTTTTTTAAATGGTTCGAATCCAGATCATTAGCTCATCAATTTTATTGCTTCTCATTCTGTTAAGTGACAAAAGGGGAAACATTTGTTTTAACTAGTACTTCTTTTGAAATTTTTGGACTTCTGCCTTTGAGTCTCTGGGAGCTAGTTTTACCAGTTGTTTTATCAGATAATATATTCATCTTTGGGTTTTAAACACTTATCATCACTGATCATGGTGTAGCACTTCCCCATGGCTGAGTGGTAAGCACTTACCACAAATGTTTTGTGATTTGTGATAAATAAAAATGATTTAGGGAAATAATTCTGGTCTCCAAAATATGAGGCAACTATTAACAAAGCATTTTTGTTTTAGGTTTGGATTTTCTTTCCCTTATTCCAGTTGATCCCCAGGTATGTATCCTGAATTTAAGCAACTAATTTGTATTTGATTGTTGATTATGTCATACTAACTAAAAATGGCCAGTTGCATAAAATCAGGACAGTCAACTCTTGAATTACTTACATTGATGGAAAGGAAGTACTGTGCAAATATTTCATAATTTTATTTGGAGGAATAAAGTTGTTTTTCAGTTCATGATTTTTGTCTTTAATATCTAAATTTTGAATTTTATTTAGCTTAATCAGTTGGCATCTCTTACAAGCATTTGAATGATTAGAATGAATGGAAGCAGTGCTGAGTGGCTGGAAGTTAAAATTTTACAAATACAGTTTTATTTTTTAGCTAAAATATTCTGTACCTAGAAAATTAATAGCTAAATGTGATGAGACAGACTTGACTCATTAACTTGATTCTTCATTGTTTTTAAAGACATTCAAATTTAGACTTTGGGGAGACCCCAGTTTCAAGTTGCTTTATGTCAGTCATCCCTGTTTTCTCTTTCAAAGATGAGAAACTCTAATAGCTCAGAGTCCCAACAAGAAGACCTTGCAGTGAGCGTGGATTGCATAGACAGGCTTATAGCAGAGGTAGAGCGGAGAAGGCATGAGAAAAGGGAAGGGAGAAAGTGACACAGAACAATAGACTTTGAGAGGAGTTAAGTATAGGAAGCTATAGAGGAAGAACCATAGGTCACTGCTTCACAAGCTGCTCAGCCAGCTAAGCACAGGTCCTATATCAGCCTCCTGTTTCAGTACTCTGTATCTGATTACATGAACAGCACTAGAAATTTGGGCCCAAGGTAATACACAGACTCAGGAGTTTCTTGTCATTCTGAGTTGACCTTCTTATAGCAGTATATATAGCAAAAGTACCTATATATTTTTCTAGGAAATGGATTCTTCAGACTTAAAGGATTACTGATTTTTATGTGATCAGTTCTTTTTAAAATTATCTTGGAACCTAGAGGTTTTTATTTCATAGTTCTGTTTTGTATACTTAGTAGTGGTCTAACTTACTTGGTGAGTCAGTAGTAGAAGGGTAAGGTGGGGCCTTCAGTTTGCCCTAGAATCCTTAGGTTTTACTACTTGACCTTCATATTATTCCTTAATTCCTGTTGTTGTATCTACAATAGGGGGGATACAAGGTTAGAACTTAAGTGGCTGCAACCTGAATACTATTAAGAATTCAGTGCATAGAGCCTATTGATGGCAGGACTGTAGCATCTAGCTACTTTCATAAATGAAGAGTATCTTTTTCTTACGAGGCAGTCAAAAACTGCCTGAGAGGTAGCAGGAATAAAATGTAAGCTTCTGGGGTTCGTTCTCGATTTACTCCCCAGTTTTAGTGGAAAGTTAGAAATTGATTTGATTTTAGAAAAGAGGTTTAATACTTGACAATTCAACTGTACTTAGGCCTCCTTAGAAGCTCTTTAAGAACTGCTCTTCTCCCCGTAACTAATGTCCCTTGATTCTGCGTGGCATTGATTTTACTGATGAACGAAAACCATTATCCTTCCAAAGCATTAAATAACTTGTTCTCTTGAAGGGCAGCCTGAATTTTAGTTGTTGCTGTCCCTCTGACTGGCAACTTAAACCTGGGACAGTTTTATTCACGGGTCTTGGAAATCATGTAGTTTAAACAACTTGACTTTTAAATTCCTGTTTTGTAATCCAGTGTCTCTAATGATAAGCTGCATAATCTATAGAATGGGGAATATGAATCAGATTTGCTTACTGATCTTTCATACAGTTTAACTAATGACAGACTTAAAACATCTCTTGCAAGATATCACTAGGCCTCTTGTTTTGCTGAAGTGCAGTTGTTTCTCACATAAAATATTCTATACTGATAGAATGTTTTGAGTTCATCTCTCTTCACTCCTCTTTGACAATATTAGAGTAGTACACTCAGGTTTGTGCTTGTTCGGGATCAGCAGTCAGGATTGTAAGGGGACTTGTGAAATATGAGCACTAGGAAAGGGGTGTTAAGCAGGCATCACAAGGAGAAGAGATTAGATCTTCTTTAATATTTATTATAAAACTTTGTGATTACCTGAGATAATTTTCTCCTGAGCATCCTGTGATAGCTACCATGTAGTCTCTGTTTTAGAATGAATGTTTTCATTCTGATGACACATATATTTTATGTTTATGTACAAAGGAGTCTAATGCAATCATTCAGCTGGTCAGCTTTAACATTCATAAAAGGTCTGTTTGATACTCAATTCACACTGAGAAAGGATAACAAATATTTTTTAAATGGTATTAAGCAAAAATGTCGGTGTAAGCTCAATGATTCTTTCAAAATTGACACCCAACCAAATACAGTTAGGGAGCAAATTCTTTTTGAGATTAAGTATGAATTGTAATTGGAGGGCCAATATTTATTATTAAATGACTTCAGTTATTGTTGACATCGTTTGTCCTTTTTTACCTTTGCATGTGGTCAGCAAACAAGTTCCACAAGTTTAGAGAGAATCAAGACTATGCTGCATTATCTAAATAATGTAAAATAGCTAAATTCATGCCACCTTCCACCCAAAGATGTGGAGTTTTGAGCAATTTTTAAATCCCAGCGGGATTTAAATATGTGGCTGTTGCTTGTGCATATTTAATAATTTCTAGTCTCTATTTAAAATCAAGTAGCCTCTTCCTCATTGACATCATTGTTTGTTTCAAGCAGTACTGTCCTCCTATGTTTTTGGATAGTCTCACCTCACCCTTAACAGCAAGCAGTACGTCTGTCACCACCACCAGCTCCCATGAAAGCAGTACTCATGTTAGTTCATCCAGCAGCAGGAGTGAGACAGGGGTCATAACCAGCAGTGGAAGTAACATTACTGACATCATCTCATTGGACTAACGGAGGACTCACTTGATTCTGGGAATCACTCATCAGAACTGCTTTTTCTTGAATTTCTAGTCTGCGGAAACTATTTTTTTTTTTTTTTTTTAACAATTTGGTATTTATTGAAAGTCAAATGGATTCTTTTGCTTTCTGAGGCGAACACAGAAGACTGCAACAAGAACCAAATGACATGCAAGGATTTTTCTTAATCATACTGTACTCTCAGCATCAGATACATTCAGCCATAACTGTATCTTCCTGAGAGATGGATTTCAGTTTCGCACATTAATGGATGGAGTCTACAAATCAGTGGAAAAAAGTTTTTGTTATAATAGAGCAATAAATTATGTAAATATTCAAGTAAACTTTTTTCTAATTAAAACATTTTAATCACTGATTCTAGAATGACAGCAACTTCTGTTTAACCTTATATGAAGGAAAAAAAATATATGGAAAGAACTTAACATTTGCTGAATGAGTCCTTTCCACGGAGATCTGTTCTGTTTCATTGAAGTAATGAAGTTTCAGTAAGTGGCCAAAGCTTGGGTTCCACTTTTATTCCTGCAGTTCTACTTTTCTTCATGATCCCATCAGAGAAAAAATGGCATTTGTGTTATGTGGTTTTTTCCTGGTTATCATTTACGCTTTGATGTTGTTTGCTGATTAATGTTGTGTGAAGTTCTGGAATTTGGTTACTCTTCACTGGTGATTATGTTTAAGAGCACTATGCAGATTCTGCCCTGACATAATGTGTATTATTATATTTTTAGTAACAGTATACTCTTCATTCTAGAGTTACAAATTTGAGGCTTACCTTCTCAAAAAAGAAACTCTATACAGTCATTGAATGAAATGTCTTTGGGGTACGGTGTGACTGGAACATTTATTAGAAATTTGTTCGCACTATCAAATATTTATATCTGGAAGCCAGCAGAAGAGCAGATTTTGGGAGGTGGTAATAACAAAATGTAATTTCTTCCCAGGAACTGAATTTGCTCATTTATTTCACAGAATAGTAATCAAATATTTGTTAAAACTTTGTATTTTGGTAGCACTGACATAGAAAATGTATTTTAGATTTATGATCATATTTCTCACCAGTGTAATTTCAGTCTCAGCAGAGATTTTCAAACTTAGGGAAAGGGACAGCGTTAGAATTTTTTTCATTTTTTTAAAGAGGAAATCTTCCCTGAAACCACAAAAGACAAAAGAGAATTAGAAATGTTTGAATTAAAGTGAAGAAAGTTTGGGGAGGATGGGCCTGAACCTACTTCCTGTCTCAATCCATGCTACCCCAAACACTCCAAGGAACCTCTGAGGTTTTATTGGGTGCACTTTGAAAATTTCTCTTCTCTAGTGTAAGTGTTTGATTTTAAATCACGCAGAAAACTGGGTTTTACTCTTAGAGAAACATTTTCATCTGAGTTTTACAGTTTGCATCATTTGACTTCCTAAATCATTTTTGAGTTCATAAGGATTTAGTACTTTTCTGTTTAGCTTTCTCTCTCTCAGCTTTATCTACCTTAAAAACAAAGTCCTTTTTTTTTTAATGGCCAATCTAACCAATTGATTTCTCACTCTGAAGTGCCCAGGTGAGGACTCTTCTATTTCACTTAGAATAGGGATGTAATACTTAAGAGTTGGTACAACTCCAAGGAGCTGACTTGTTTTTTTTTTTTTTTTTTTTTTTTGCCCTTATTTTTTCATCTTCTCAAGTTTCCATGGCCTTGTGTGCTCTTTTTACATTGATTTAATTTCATGTGGTTTTCCATATCATCTATTCTTTGGCTACATCATCTCCTTATTCAGTGGATTATCCCTTTGTGGCGCTGCTTATTTTAAAGATGTAGAGGGGCAGGGGGAAACCCCGAATCTTCCAGCAGTAGTTGCACCATTTTTGCCAGTTTTACCTTCTTAGTCATTAGATTTCCAAACCTTGTTGAAGTTTTTTGGTCCAGATATAGTATTTCTTTCTAATAAAATTTTATGTTGCTGCTCTAAATACAGATCAAATTTCTGTTGACTCTGTAATCAGATAGAAAAAGTTTAATGTGATTTGTGTGGTATAATTTGTTAATAAAGAAATGATGTATATTTGTTATTTTGTTATGCTTTAGATTGTCAGAGACTCCCCCAATTTAATGAACAAAGCTTTATAAAGTAA